ACACATTATGACACAATATTCTGGAGGTCATCATAAAGGTACATGAGATTCCACGAAAAATACCCTACAGCTTAAAAAACGTATGAAACCAATTTATGAGATTGGAAAGAGATGGCTAAAGAGGTCCACATTAATCTGTTGTATATGGTGCCCGTGTCTATTCTCCACTGGAAAAGCTCTCTACTATATTTTAGAGCCAGGACGACATAGACCGGATTTGTTTCAATTCATAAACAAGCATTAGAGTGGTCCACTACGGATGAGGGGTGAAAGGGCAGAACTACCAGTTGGTGCTTAGCTTTATCCAAAAAAGAGGAAGTCATGGTGTGTGACTCATGTTAACAGTCTGGACAATACACAGAACAAAACAGATGCTAGAAAGGCTAAGTATTGATTTACAGGGAAAGCACTCATCTTTTTTCTAACACAGTTGGTTTACAAGTTTAAGTGCTATGACAGGTTTTCACGTTTTTATAATGACTTGGTTTGATGTGATATTAAAAGGCTGAAGGCGCATTGTGTAACTTTTCTGGTGGAGGGTCCGTCAAAAGCTTTTCTCCATGGATGTTATCACAGTATGTTATTAACCTTTCTTCATGGAGACCAAACCAGACCAAGTTACAAGTCAGATCTGTGGAGAGGCAATCCCGCTCCCACTCAGAATACCTGTTTCCTAGGCATTTTAAACCACCTGTAATAAATGCTGTAAATGAATAGTAATTTAATAAATGTAAGGTAAGCTGTTTGATGTCACACTGTGGAACATTCCAGGCAGAGCAATGGCATATCCACGGAAACAAGCAAGTGACGGACCCCCAACCAAAATATCAGTTTGTGGGGAAAATGTCTCAAAGAAAAGTACAAAAATACAAGAAGTAGCAGTGAGGGAGTAGGCTACGTCTACCTATGTACATTAATTTCTCAAAATAAAGTCATTCACTGTCAATATTATTTTTGTCTAATCATAACTATTGTGGAAGTTCTGGCCCTTGTTAACATTACAATTTCTAGGCAACATGTCATATCTGCTGCCCATGTCGGTAAAAAGATGACTGACATTAAAAACTACAAAAACAGAAAATGTTTTTAGTCAAATCATAAAATAATGTTATCTATGTTTTAGTTAAATAAGTAGTCTAACCTGCCATACACTCTGTTTGTGGCTTGTTTTTATGTGTGCACTAATAATGTTCTTGCACTGATTTTGTACTGTTTCTACCATTTATTGTGCATGTGGGTGTCTGGTGTTGTTGTAAATGTGATAGAGAAAATAAAAGCGACACTGAAAGTCATTATTTTAGGGGAGCTATATATATTAGAACAAACGAGAGATCATGGGGTGAGCTACCTGGAGTTCTTTGAATGCACAGTTTATTCTTCCTTCTGTTCTATGTTATGTTGTTTGCTCACCAAAAATATATCTGGAGTTGTGTTTTGTTTAATTCACACATGTTTAACACACAAACCCTGCATGTTTAGGCTGAGTTCTTCCCTCAAACTGAAAACCCTCTGTTCCACCTTGTGATGTCAGGAGGTAATACAGGAAGTGCTCCATACACCTTCAGTAGGATCATTTGGATACTTTCTGGAATTGCAAATCTCTACTGAAAAAAGTAAAAGGAGCTGTTAACTTGAAAACTACCGCTTCATGACATCACAACATGGGACAGACCATTTTAAGCTTTGAAGATTTAGACTCAAACAAGTGTAAATGAAACAAGACAGAACTCCAGGTATGTTTTAATGCGGTAACAACACTATAACATGTCTTAAAGCTCACAAGAGTCAATTTTGTGTAATATAGTCCCTTTAACAATCAAGACAATACACAGACCAGAGCAGATGCTAGAAAGTATTGATTACTGAGGGAATGCACTCACCTTTTTTCCTAACAGGCATGGCTGGCTCAGTGTAAACTTGACTCTCGGTAAGGCGTGCAGTTTCGAGTCTTCTTTTCAACCTCCCTTTCAGTGCATGATTAAAAATTTCTTTCCTTTAAGTGCAAGAAAAGTTGTATTATTATCAGCTGTATTCACGAGGGGGTCACTGTCATGGGGAGGAGTTTAAAACGGCCCCCAAAAGTGCAGTTCAGTGCCTAATAGAAAGAAAAACACCTCAAACCTTGGCACAACATGAGAATTTATAGATATCTCAGGACATTGCCTCTTTGAATATCAACTCAGCAGCAGATATTCATGTGTTATTATGGAAGTACAATTTCAGACTATAGAAGTGCAAAGGTTTCTGTCCGGAAAAGCATCATTTATTTGGCTTATGGGTAGGCAGAGGGTAGAAGAAGCGCCTTGTCATGACAGATGAAAAAAAAAATCCTTAGTAGACACAATAAAGCAGGAGATGTACCGCTAGCCTCCAAAGCGATGGATCTTGACGCAAAAACATCCGGTGTGTAGGGCGAGCTCCCGGTCAGTGTCCTGTCTGAAGAATAGCTCCATAAAACGTGTTCATCATCCATAAATAAAGTTGAATTCACTGTACATAGCAGGTCTGAAAACAGGTAAACACACGTGTTAATTAGAAGGGAAAATATATCTGATTTGGGGGGAAATAAAAGCTGCTGTCTGACACAATCACTTGAGAGTTTGGTCTGGAGGTTTGGACTTGAGCAGGTCGATCAATTTGCCCCCCATGAGGCAGCTTTGGGAATATTCTTCAAATTAAAAGCATCCCTTTGGTCTTTTGCTGCAGTTATTCCCATGCACAATGATAAAAATGCATGTTGTGGACTAGTAGTTAGCTAGCATTCAAGCTAAATCAGCAGATGCCTCTCCTCCAGTGCGACGCCTGGTTGGAAAATACCTGCCCGCTGCCAAGTGTAGGTGAAAACGCATGGTTCTCAAATGTCCCCATCTAATTCATATTCCCCGGGATGTCGCGCCTTCTCCGGACAAAAATACGGAGCTAAATGAACAATATTGGATAAAATCTTCGCACTGCCACATCTCTGTTCTCCTTAAGCAGGTACAGTAGCGTTAGCCTCATGAAGTGACAGCATCAGCAGCAGTTTGGAAACCAGCACAAGCTAACGAAGCTAAAGCGCTACGGCACGGCTACTTCCGGCCAGCCCTTTCACAATAAAACACCACAGCATTTTATGTAATACGAGCTTTTGATCAATGGATTGAAATTAAGGCTGGGGAACATTAATAAATTGGCGATACGATACATACCTCGATACGTAGGCCACGATTCAATACGTTTTTTGATACAGTGCACTTTCGATTCAATACAATTTGATATGATATATCTCAAATCGATTCACTACGGTTCACTAAAAACTTTTTATTAATCCATTAAGTTTGTGCAAAGTTAATATGAAAAACGCTAATTTTATTCAAAACTGTGAAAATAGTTCAGTAAAATATAATTAAAAATACTCTTGGCAATATATCGTTGCAGCAGCCCACATTATCGATATTGTATCATCAAATTAAACTATACAATATATCAATATTTCAGTATTTTTGCACACTCCTAACTAAAACTGAATCGTCAATACTGCACTGCTCTCTTTTAACAGATGCATAGCCACGTGAAAAAAATATGTACTTATTTATACAAGTATTTATTGCAAATTGTAAAAGTAAAATAGGCTATGTTAAATAACAGAGTGGTTTAGATGATAAAGCTTAAAGGTGCACTATGTAACTTTACTCATATAGGGTCTGCCACCTGTCTCTATATAGACGACATTAAACCTATCTGTCTCCATAGAGAATGTGAGTTACACCACTACGCCAGGTATAAGAATACGTGTATTTCAAGGTATTTTAGAGCAATAAATACATTGGTAAAAGAATAGCTCAAACACAGAAAGACAGATAAGCTTAATGCCATACTGTGGGAATATTTCTGGCAAAGAAATAACATTGCAATCTCAATGACAACACATAAGGCTAGTTCATCTTTAAATTCCCTCTTACATATGTATATTTTGAAGACTTGCATAGAGGCTATACATAATTTCACTCCGTTTTTTACTGTATCATAGCTGTCTATCTGCGTTTTACAAAGAATAGGCGTTTATGTCTTGTAAGGTTCCCAGCCTCCAGTCCAGCGGAAATGTTATTTTGAAAGGCCCGCAGACGGCTTTGGGACGCACTGGCGCAGCTGTTTAACTTCACAGCGCAGCGGATGCTCTGGGATGGTGCTCTGCATCCTGATTGACAGGAGCCTACAGCCAGTCACATACCGCTGTTTCCTTTGCATCAGGGTGGATTAAGTTAACCAATGTCAATATGCTGTGTGCTGCAAGTAGACCTATAGAAATTCCTGTAGTAGACCTATAGAAATTCACATTCCTGCTGCAAACCAAAACACAACAGGAGCCTGCCCTTAGCCTAACCACCATATCATACCATTTGCAGGTTAGACTGTATGCATAGGAAGAGGTCTAATAAACTTGAGTCTAAAAAATATCTCTACACAATATATTCAATGTTAAGGATTTTTGGAGGTTTTGTTTTATTCAATTGATCTAATTGTTTATCCTAAATCGTATTTATAGGTTTAATTCAGTCAGTCATTACCAAAATGCAACACATAGTCGTTAAACACTTATTAATGAATTATTTTACCTAATGTTTCCTCTTCTTGCAGAACTAGAGGGATGTTGGATGAAGAAGTAAATATTGGGAGGGCTTTGAAAATAAGCTTTCTTCTTATGGTATTTAAAAAAAAAAATGAAACCAATGAGCTCACTAAATACTAAAAGGACTTTGTGTTTTTTTGGCAAATAACATAACTCTTAACATATTTCCTGCATTTGTTCATCAAATAAAAACCCCATCATAAATGAGCCTAGAGATTATAGGTAGCTCAACAGTGCCCTCTTACGTTTCTATTTAGTCAGTACACTCACTAGACTTAGAAAAAGCAGCATTATTTTCCTCAAATTTCCAAAAAAAGAATAAATTATATTAAAAATACTACAGATGTCATGATTTCTCATAAGCAACTTTATCAATAAATAAACAACGTAATTTGTTTGTGTACAGTTTATTACCATAGGTTAAAATATTAAATCATAGATCATCATCAGTATCACTTTATTTGTCCCTGAGGGGCAATTTAAGCACATTAAGCAGGAAAATAAAATAATGGTACAAAAGCCTAAAAATCATATGCACATCACAAGCACTTGTTACCATTTTAAGATTAACATAAATAAATTATTTTGAATTATAATACCAAGACATTGGGGAGAATATATTTTATATATTTTAATAATTTGTTATCAAGAGCATATGTCTTTAATCAAAGGAAATGGTCAGATTTATAATACATAAATGAAAGTTGAAAGTTCCTGTGTTTGAGCTTCCCGTTATATGTGACTTTTTCCCAGACAAGATTTAATTTTGTTAATCATTAAGCAACAGTCCTGATTTTTCAACATTGTGAAACTCAAGGAGAGCCCCAGGTCTATTACTCATCTCTTGTTGCAATATTTTTGCTAAGCTTATGTGTGAGGATGGCATTTTCCTCAAAGTTAAATTCCACTATTAGTTTAACATAGCTGGTCCATATTTTTTCTTTGTCTCAGTACATCTCAGGGTCACTTGGCCATGCTTTTTGCCATCAGCAGCATTCTCAGGGGTAAAATCTCCTCCACCCATTCACCGTCAGACTCCAGCATCCTCTTCCACAGGTGGGCTTCACTTGTGGTTGAGTCCATCCAGTTCACATCTACTCCATAACTCTTCCCTAGACACAAAACAGAAAATTTAACCACGTGTCTAATGTGAAAAATAATTCCTCCATTTCTCTACAATTTCACAGCTTTCTGGTTACAAAACCAATAAAGCCAAGGCAACAACAGCATATTCTAGTAGATGATGTGTAATTAATATGGAGAATTGTGTATAAGTACTTATATTTATCAGTGCTAGTGCAGCCTCTGCAGTTCAATTAGTGAATTCTAGAGGTTCTGAGCTTTCATACATGAGACATGAGACTTGGCCTGTCTATATACCGAGAATGAGAAAAAAGTCTCTATATGCAAGTTAAGGCACTTGGACACAGGTTCAGTTGTGATTGTAGAACCTTTAAACCTTTATTGTTTTGTTTACCCCATGGTTTTTGTGTAGTTTGGGGGACAGAGCCTTTGCCATGACTGCCCCCACCCTCTGGAGCTCTCTCCACCTTCACACCAGAACTCAGACTCACTAAACATCTTTTTAAAAAAACTGCTCAAAACACACCTTTTCCTCAGAGCCTATAGCCCCCACACATGACTACATTACTGTTTTGTCTGTCCTGTCCTTGTTATACTGTTACTTAATTGTGAAGCTTCTTTGTGTTACTGTGAAAAGAGCTATATAAAACCAAAGTATTATTATTATTAGTTTATTGTATGTGAGTAGAGAGAGAGGGGTGGGGTTGGGAGCTTTTTAGTATTTTGTCTATTTTTGTTTTTGTTATATATAATATTTTATTATAATATATTAATATATTTAAAAAGCCTTATTGTAGCCTCTCACCTGTGCCTAGCCCCAGTCTGACCCCTCCGATGTAGTGGTTGTTGAGCCTGTCATGGTCCCACACAGTGAGCTCCACACAGGCCTCTCTCAAGTCCTCAGGTCTGAAGCCGTCATAGACCATGGTGTGGTTAAACATGGGGTTTGCTGTCCGCTTCACCACACGAGTCTTCTGACGGCTCTTCCTGCTCGTGTCCGGAAGAACAGTACTGCAATGCACATAGTAAAATTTACATGTACAACTCAATCCCAACCATTTATATTTCTGTCCGTTTCAACAAATACAAATGATGTTTAATGTGTACTTAAATATTGTTTTTTATTAAAATTCTAGTTCATCTTGCAATAAAAAATGTGCTATATGTGCCTCCTTTAAAGCTGTATGGTGATCAAAAACAAAAAAGTTGGGTCTAAAATTGGGTTAAATTGGGTCTTAAAACTACATTTTCACACTAATATTCACGATAATTTAAATTTGGTATGTACAGATGAGCACTATTCTTTTTCTTTTGTTACTGACTGTCCAGAACGTGTCACGTGTTAGCTTGTATATTATTTAGTTGTTCCATGAAAAACAAGAAAAATCTGGTAACAAAAAAAAGAAATGTATAAAAATAGATAAAAAAGAAATATTAATAGTCTGTAGTGCCATCGCAGTTCCAGTAGAAACGTATTTTACCATTTGACGAAAGGGTCGATGATGACTCCTCTGATTGGTGGAAGATTCTTACAATCCTTCACCCAAATCTGGACTTCTCCAGTTTCATTCCTGGATTTTCTTTTACCTGTATGCAAAAAAGTAAAAAATAAAAGGTGTACAATGTAACTTTTGTGGTGGAGGGTCTGCCGACTGTTTGTCTCCATGGAAATGTTATCACTTTTATCGCATTAAACTTCATCTACCTTGCATTTATTCAAATACAGTTGTTTTTATTGCCCATTAATGAACAATTTCTTACTGTGAGAACAATCGCCTCTCTACAGATCTAACCTGTAACTTGTCTTTGCTTGTCTCCCAGTTAAATGCTAAATTTGGGAACATTCCTTCAAGCCAATTCCATGGACACAAGAAGGTGGCGGACTCTCCATCAGGAAAATTACTGTACATACACATTCATAACAGTTTTGCACTCACTTGGGGAGGTCTGGGGCAGAAATCGCAGGGCAACTCTCATTTGCCCTCTGCTGTCCACTGAGCGAGTGGGAGAGGGGGTGGATGTCAGAGCTGAAGAGGCTGACTATAGAATAAATAATAAACTATTATTCAAAAGCAAATTCATAATTAAGGTGAGACACAGCAGGCAAAAAAACCCTTGATTCATTTTTTTTTTTTCAAATCAAATACATATTTTATTATTATTATTATTATATTAATTTATTCAACATGCATCCATAGATTTATATGGGGCATTGTAACTTCAGACTTCAGGACATATTCTTATATTAGCAAATTTATACACCAAAACTGGCCCACTTTGTACTTTGATTTTAAAGATGACTTAATATCTAATTCTATGCCTTATTTATTAAGGTTTATTAAAGTTTTTAACTAAAAAATTAAAAAAAAAACGGGCAAAATTTTAATATTTAGCACAATTTTCAGTAAGATCTAAATAAAAAATCTGCATGTCGTTTCTCTGATTTGTATGTCCCAAATATGTAAAATTTTGTCAGTTTTTAAACATTAGTGAAAAAGTTGTTTGTTTTTTTACGTACACTACATTTATGGAAGAAAGACACAGAGGAAATTGATACCTCTCTAGATTCCAGATTTCTCCCTGTACACTTAAAATGTTTATTTATAATGAAAAACATTTACCCTGGCTTTCAGCGCATATTCATTGATCTGGGCATTACTGAAGTCCCATTCTGACAAATCCAAGTCCACTTCTCCAAGGAAACTGTTACGCCCAAAAGTGTCATTGTGCCAAACTGACACGTTCAGATGTTGAGATTTTAAAACTTCCAGCAATATTTTAAACTACAAAAAAGAAAAAAAAAACATTAGATAACAGATATACAAATCTATATTAATCTTCTTATAAACAAATTACCCGAAGGATTTCATTATAGGTAGGGTTTACAGTCTTCTTCTTGATTGAGGTCTTCCTTTTACCAAGTTTGGTTTTATCAGGCAGAAGGTAACATTTGACATATCTAAAAAACAAACACAAACACACAAAAGTTTATCATCATCATCAAAGAAAACACAACTCCAGGTATGTTTTTGAGGAGATAACAGCATTGTAACATGGCTTAAAGCTTGTAAGAGTCAATTTTGTGTAATATAGGACCTTTAAAAGGGATTAATTATGCAAGGAGCAATATCTTCAGTTAAATGAATTAAAGGAAACATGAATGGATAAGCATTATACTCAGTTACAAGCAAGTATATGTCAATTACAATACAATAATGTGAGTATTTGTAATTAGAAGTAAATTCCAGAAGTAAATTTTCCATTTATTTTCCCCCTCAGGTCACTGTTGATCTCCATTTGGCATACACTGGACTACTTACGGGTCGGAGCGGCTCTTCTTAGCGTCCCCTAGTGCCAGACCTCTGCAGTGCACCACAAAGATATGAAACTCTCCCAGCTTTTGGATGTAGTTGACCGCAAACTGAATAGTGCCCTGGACATCAACATCTCCCAGGTCTGCGTGGTAGATACTGGTCATGCTCCCACTCACCTGTGTATAAAGGTCATTTTATGCGTATATTTGATTTTGAGTAAATAATAATAACAAAATAATGAGCCATAACATACAGAGGACATCGACGCCATGCCAGAGGAAAGGCTTACGTTGGACGTGGAGCTCCCAGTGTTCCTCCTCCAGCTCATATTGTTCTCAAAAGGACTGTCACTGTCGGTCTGAACACAAGAAAAATGTTTATGCCACACTATGTAACTTTTTAACCCCAAAACAGACTACAACTTAATCTTTTTTTTTCCATTTTGTTTGTTATCATTGTACTGAAAAACAAGGATAAACAGGCATCCTTGCTCTGAGTGGGCTTGCAGGTCCACAAACCTGACTCTTACTTGGCCTATAGGAGGACGTCTAACTGCTTGTAACCATGGAAATTATGTAACTGGCTATAATACTCCGAGGTAGGGCATGAAGCTCATCTATATCCACTGAGAAAGTTCTGCTATTTCCACAAAGTTACACAGTGTTGCTTTAATTTATTTAATTACCGTTTTATCCAAAAAAAAAAAAAAAAAGGTGCACTATCTAACTTTTCTGGTGGAGAATCTGCCACATGCTCGTCTCCATGGAGATATAACTGCTTTGCCTGGAATGTTCCACAGTATGGCATTTAACTTATTTTTCTTGCATTTGTTGAATTACAGGTTTTAACTGTTCAAAAACACACTGAAACACACACATTTGTACATTACGCGTGGTCACCTCTTCTCAGATCTGACCCGTAAATCAAAGTGGCATACTTGTCTCCATGCACATATAGATACATTTAATGCCATACTGTGGAACATTCTAGGTAAGGGAAAGACATTTAAACAAGACAAGTCACAGAAACTTGACCAGAAAAGTTGGGTAGTTTTTATGATTTTTTTTGTTTGTTGATAACATAGTCAAATCCCTGTACTGTGATATATATTTACAGAATAATACATGAATCAAACACACTGTACTAGTGTATTTATACCTCGTCCAGCTGAAAGGCCGGCACAGAGGCGCTTGATTTCTTGGAGGTGGCAAAAGAGTCTGCTGAAGGCATTTCTGAAACTGAAAATACAGAGGGTTAAAAATTAGACAGATTTATGGCTCAGATTTACATGAAAAGAAATCATCAAAAAGCATCTGGTGACATTAAATTAATCAACAGATTGGAAGACAAAGAAAACAATATTTTTTAAAACAGATTTAATAGTTTGCTTTTTAAAAATGTAATGTGTTAATGAGATTTTTTTTTTTCCAACAAATAAAGCAAGAACCCCCATAAAGTAGTCTTAATCAAATAAAAACCAACAAGCTGAGATCAAAACTTTGGAATGTACTTCTCTCTGAGTTTCATCATCTCACAAAGTGTACACTCACTTCATCTCCCACAGAGTTACTTGGACATAAATTACACATTTTCTTGTCAAAACCTGCACTGGTTTGAACACTCTGAACACTCATTACTCACATCAAATGTAAGTGTTCACGACATTTCCAGAAATCCAGAAACCAGATCATGATCAGATTTTAGTGTGCCTTTAAAGGTGCATTGTGTAACTTTTTGGTTGGGGGTTTGTCACCTTGTTTCTATGGATATGCCTGGAATGTTCCACAATATAGCATTAAACAGGTCTAGTTTACATTTATTTAATTACAGGTGGTTTTATAGCTCAAAAATACCTAGATAAATAGGCATTCTGACAGTGGGTGGTGTTGCTTTTCCACAGATCTGACCTGTAACTTGGTCTGGTTTGGTCTCCATGAAGACAGAAATGTCTAATGCCATACTGTAAAACATTCCAGACAAAGGAAGAACATGAAGAACATGAAAAATAGCATTTGACGGACCCTCGACCAGAAAAGTGACACGGTGCAACTTTAGACCTAAACAGTGATAGTAGTAAAGAAAAATATATAAATGTTTGATATTGTTGTGTTGTTTTTTTACCATCATCCACACTTCTGTTCATGTGTTCTTTTTCTTCCCCTGTGAGAAAACACAAAACTTAAACTTGTTGTTTGAGTACAATTTTATAATCAGATGCAGAGTTCTGTTGTTACGTGTTGAGGTGGTGAGATCTTCCAGACTTTTGGAGGAGGACATTTTAGATGATAACCGTTTCAGAGCAGACATGACCGGGCCAGACTTCTCCCCATAATCTGTCAGGAATACAGAGAAATACTGCAGTGGAAGTGAAGTTAACATGCATAAAATGTAGACTTAGAGGTGCAATGCATAACATTTGTAGTTGTGGGTCCTTCAATTGCTTGTCTCCATGGGAAAATTATTACTTTGTCTAGAATGTTCCACAGTATAGATTAAACCTATTTATTACGAAGGAGACAAGTAGGTTACAGCATTAAATTACATTACAATTCAGATCTGTGGAGAGTTGCCCCATTCACAGAAGGAATTATTGCATTTTTGAGGGATAGAAACACCCATAATGAATAAATGCCAGATGGATATGTTTAATGTCATACCACAGAACATTCCAGGCAAAGCAATAACATCGCCATGGAGACCAGTAGGAAGCGGACCCTCCACTGGAAAAGTTGCACAGTGCTCCTTTAACAATGGGATATACTGAGCAATGGCTTGACCAGCCAATTATTTCATTGATTGGAATTGTAAAAAGACATAACCAAATACACACAGTGTTTTTTTTTTCTCTTGTACTTGATTTTCCTCTTGTTATATATCAATTATAATACAAATCCAAACATTTTTGTTACCTCTTGATATCTCAGATCAATGTAAAAGGGTTAGTTATTTATACAGAAAGGAGCAGTAACTAGTCAGGCTAAACAATCAAACTACTTTTGAAAGGTCCTACATTACGCAAAATTGAGCTTCAAGTCATATTATAATGTTGTTCTCTCATTAAAAACATACCAGTTGTGTTTTGTTTTACACGTTTGAGTACCTCTGTGACTACATCTCCAAATCTCAAAATGCTCTGTTCCACCTTGTGATGTCATGAAGCTCTAGTTTTCAATAGGCAACACCAGGGCTGAAATCATCAAAATAATTCTAGCGAAGGTGTATGGCGTTTACAAATACAGTGAAGCACTTCCTGTATTACCACATGATATCACAAGGTGGAGCAGAGTGTTTTTAGGTTGAGAGAAAAAAACACCCTAAATATGCAGGATGTGTGTGTTAAACAATTCAACTAAACAACTCCGGGTATGTTTGTGATGTGGAAACAACATTATAACAGAGACCAGAAAACCGCACAAAATGGACCCTTTAACACAAATTGAAAAGGATTGCAAGCGTGGAAACTACAATTACGATACAAATATTTTATTTTGTGTTACCTCTGGGCATGATTCATTTAAACCATCATCATTTCTCAATAACAAGAAAGAGGAGCGGAGAAAGAAATGATATTCTCACTGCCTGAACTTGCCCGAGCCAGAGACCAAGCCTTCGTAGATGTGTCATCACTGCAATCTTTAATCTGTTCAATCCAGGAACTGACTCTGGGATCCTTGTTCCCACTTTGGTTAGCCACAAACTCTCTGAGAGGGCTTTGTGGTCTGTTTTGATCACCAATTTCTTCTGCATGCATGCTCTGAAATGGCGGTACGTGTGCTTTGTCATGTGGTCCCAAGTAGTGTTCATAATCTTGAGATATGACAGATCTCGCAAGGGGAGATACGTAGTTAGTTTCAGTATTTTCAAGATTACTTTTTCCTTCAGGAGATGGGCTTTTCTTCTGTCTTGGCTTCTCATCTGTATCTATAACAATTGGAAATGTTTTCAACGGCGATGCAGGTCTAGATCCTTCAGGGCTTGCCGTTTCTCTTGGCAGGACCCTTGGGTGACATGTTTTGGACGGGCTACGCTTCACTTCATCATATTGTTCTTTAGATCGTTTCGTTGGAGATCTGGTTGGACTCTGTGGTGCTTCCTGTGATCTTTCCGCACTGCTTTGGCTCACAAATCCTTTGTCGTTAACTATGACGGATTTGACGGTAATGATTTTAGAAGGAGAAATTGGATCTGGCTTCTTCTGGCTTCCTGCGGTTTTCAATGGAGAACCAACAGAAGAACCTTTACTTGAGTGTACCGGACTACAAGGAGCACTTGCCCTACCTCCTGAACACTCCTCCCAAAAGTTTTTCAGCTCAACAACATTTGCAGGTTTATCATCTTGAGGTATATAAGACAGCTGTTTAGGAATGACCACTGGTGATGGTTTTGAGTTGAGTTCAATGATCTGCGTCTCTGGGACTGAGCACACAATGGAGTCTTCGTTGTCTTCATAAATCAGAACTGGGAATGCCCTGTATGTACCATCTTCATTGGAGGACTCTAGCAAAGGTTTACACTGAGAATCTTCATCGCTTTTGGCCACAATTTCAACATCATTTTCACTTCCTGAGACATTACCGAGTACATTTTGTGTATGTAGATTTGCTTGAGTAATTTGTAAGGATTCTGTTTTTGTAATTTGCAGAACTTCTTCTCTGTTTACTTCTATTTTTGAACCAGTGTTCTCAGATGATGTGTTCAGTTCAGGTGTACTTTTTTCTCTATCTTCAGTTATCTGTAATGGGGCTTCTACAGATACCACTGCTTCATCTTGTAAAATTAATTTATCCTCATTTTCACTTGGTTTCTGCTTCTTTGTTTCAGTACTTTTAGTCTTGTCTCGTTTAAAAAATCCCAAAAGTCGCTGTTTAGCTGATGGTGAAACCGCATGGGACGATTTCTTTGAGATTTCATTGGTCAGTTTTTTTTCGGTGATGAGATGGGCTTCAATGAGGGAAGAAGCTTCAGTGATGGGAGGTGTGTGGTCTTCCTCTGGCTGGTTCTCAACATGGACAGCTTCATGTGACTCCAGTACAGCTGATATTAAAGAGGGTACTGAACTTTGGCTCTGATATTTCTCTGTCTGATCTGTAAAACAAGAATTTAAACAGAGATTAAACATGGATTACTGAAATAAAATGTTTTAATCCTGTTGATGTATTTTTATAAAGATGTAATGACAAGGTAATCAAAGTGGCTTTCTAAAGAAAACATAATTGATTTGACGGGCAGCTGCTTGTTTACACAGAGATGATATTTCTTTGCCTGTAATGTTCAACAATAAAACATTAAATGTATCTATCTCCAAGTAGGTGATGCCAAATTACCTGTCAGATCTCTGGATATGAGACCTCATTTACAGTATGCATGTTTTTAAGGTATTTTCAGCAATAAAAACATCTGTAATTGAATTGAATAAATGCAAAAAGTTAAAGAGGCACATATTACACTATTTTCTGATCTATATTATAATGTTGTTTCCTCATCAAAAATATACCCGGAGTTGTGTTTTGTCAGATTCACACATGTTTAACGCACAAATCTTGCATATTTAGTCTGAGTTCTTACAGAAAACACCCTGTTCCACCTTGTGATGTCATGTGGTAATACAGGAAGTGCTCCACTGTTTTCTTTAAACTCCATACGCTTTCTCTAAAATCCTTTGGATAATTTCAGAATTGTCAATCTAGACTGAACAAAAGGTAAAAGGAGCTGTTATCTTGAAAACGCTTCATGACATCACAAGGTGGAACAGATCATTTTGAGCTTTAGAGATGCAGACAACCTTATGATGTTTGATTACAAAATGTGTGAATGAAACATAACACAAGTCTAGGTATGTTTCTGATGAGGTAACAACATTCAACAAGAGTAAATTTTGTGTAATATAGGAACTTTAAATTGCTTTAAAACCATCCCAATCCTGTATAAATAAGTCTAAATAATATTGTATGTTTTTATTCTCTTATTTGGCAAATTCAAATCAATTTTAGTTCACTTTTTTACTGTTATGTCAACAAATCAAGCAAATCATTTACCATTAGTAACTTCCTCTTGGCTTCCTTCTTGCATTGCCACCTCGCTGTCTGTTGATTTGACTTCAGACTTCGGTTTTGCTCCATCCTCTGCTTCTGTACGATGCTCTGCTTCTTTTCTCTCCTCTTCTTGTGGAGTAAACGAGTCCACATCCAAAAGGCTGTGTTCTCCCACTTCTTTCCCATCATTCCTCTTGATAAACCTCACCTGTTTCTTATCTATCCATTGTTCAGTAGGAGATTCTGCTTGGGTTGACTTCTGTTCATCTAAAACTACAGGATCTGACTTTAGGATTCCCCTTGGAGCAGCATCATTGGACAAGTCTTCCATTTCGTTAATATAATCATTTGTAATACTGGTGATGTTTTCTTCAGGTACAGGTTGGAGAGGTGACTTTGGTGAAATGGGGTCAATCAAATAGGTGGGGCCCAGGTTTTGTAAAGGACCAAAAGGATTGACAAGATCCGTTGGTAAGATGTACTCTGAAAGATAAACGAAGAGGACAATGCAGTGTTATTAATGAGCAACATTTATACAGATATATCTATATATGTTATGAATTTGTGTTAGTTATAGACAGGAGTGGAAAGTAACAAATAGTTTTAGAAAGTTATTAGAAGTGAGTAGGTTCTTTGGGAAGTAACTGAGCAAAATCTGGGGGGACAGGGCCTTTTCCGCTGCTGCCCCACCATCCAGAACACCCTCCCCAAACACATCAGAGACTCATCCACACTCACAATGTTCAAAAAGTCCTGAAAACCCATCACTTTCAAACCACTTTTAATTCACTTTTTTGTTTCTTCTGTTTGTCTTTGTTCGTTTCGGGTAAAGAAACACGCTATACAAGTGTTATGTATTAATATTATTATAATTATAAATAGTAGTAGTTGTTGTACTTTTTTGAGTAAAACAAACTTGTAATTGAGTAAAATCTCTCCTACTACTCCTCCTACTACTTCTGCAAAGACATAATGGATGTGTTCCAGTAAAATTTTAAATTCTAAATTATTTGTACTTGTAACTGAGTTTAATTCTAGCCCTGTAATTTCACTTCATTTAAAAGAGCACTGTACAATCCCAAATACAAAAATTTGACATTTTATAAGCTACTTTTTCAACTCTCAACAGCTGAAATGTTATAGTACTACAAAAAATGACAAAATTCTCCACTAAAAAGCATGTACATCTGATAAACACTGTGCCCCAAAACATCCTGTTCCAGCTATAACATATGGAACAATAAATCAATACATGTAATTATCATAACAGGTGGAAGTACAAATTCTGGACTATTTCCATTTCTGGTTTTAGAATCTTCCACAGAAGTCCCATGTGAAACCTAATGGCCACAAGTCATGCAGTAAAGATTAAAGCGCTGGAATGTATTTGGCTGTAATCCGTGGCTAGTCGGTTGGTCTTGCGTGTTTGGGCTTATTTCACTGAGCAGGTTTGACACTCTCCTCACAACAATCACGCAAAATGTTGTATACAAGTCTATATTATGGGGTATTATGAGTCCTACACTGTGTTCGGGATTGTTGAGTCTGTGTATAAATAAATGAAATAACCTACTTCTGCTATAGTAAAAAGTACTATAAATTACATCTTGTGTCTGTTAATGGAACCTGACAGTTTGCTAAATTATTAAAAACGAACTATGTAGCTTCTCTGGAGGATGGCAAGTCATCTGCTTGTCTCCATGGTGATGGAATGGCTTTGCCTGGAATGTTTCACAGTAGTGCATTAAATATACATGTCATCATGGAGATAGTATGTGATGCCATCAGGTCAAGATGGGGAAAAGTGCTCTTGGTAAGAAGGGGTTTTTCAAGGTATTTTTGAGTATTAAAAAGACCCTTGATAAACGTAATTCTAGATGGATATTTCAAAGTCATACTGTGGAACATTCCAGAGAAAGCTTTGAAAGTCCATGGAGACAGCATGTAGCAGACTTGACACCTTTAAAGGTCCAAAATTACGCAAAATTGACTCTTTCTGAGCTTTTAGCCACGTTAGAATGCTGTTACCTCATCAAAAACAGACACGGAGTTGTGTTTTGTTTCATTCACACGTCTGAGCAATATTTCACTATTATAGTCTACATCTTCAGTGCTCAAAATGCCCCATTTCACCTGGTGATGTCATCAAGGTGTAGTTTAAGTTAAGAGCTACCTTTTGTTTAGTAGAAATTTAGCAATTCCAGGGCTGAAATTAAACAAATTATTCTAGTGAAGGTGTATGGAGGTTAAAGATAAATAAATGTGTGAATGAAACAAAATTAGATTAGAACATTACATTAGAACATAGATCAGAAAATACTGTAATATACAAAACCGGTCAAAAGTTTTAGAACACCACACTTTTTCCATTTTTTTAGTCTTTACTGTTCACCAAAACATATTCTAAATTTTTGATTCATGAAAGTGTCCACCTTTGGCAGATATAACAGCTGAACACACTCGTGGCTCATTCTTCTTACAACAGAAATCAAATATTCTTCAGAAAGTTCTTCCCAAGTCTGTTGCAGAAGTTCCCATAAATGTGTGGCACTTGTAGGTTTCTTGCCTTTCACTCTTCTGTCCAGTTCATCCCAAATCAGCTCAATGAGGTGCTGTGCTGGACACTCCATGTTTTCAAGTTTACCATCTTGTTCTTTTTCCTGAGGTAGTTTTGGCAGAGTATGGACTTGTGTTTTGTTCTTTTATCTTTTTTTAACCTCTGGCTGTTCAGTACTTACCTTTGTACCATTTCAAGCGCTTCATTGAACTGGTACAACTTGAATTGCAATAAATAAGTGTATAAATTAGGGTGTTCTAAAACTTTTGACCGGTACTGTAGGTAATTTAATATAATAGTTAGTTGTTATTTTGACTACCCAAAGCAAAAGACAGAAAAATACCACATTCAATAACAATGATAAACCTACAAAAGGAAAAAAACAGCAGCCAGTATGGAAATCTCAAGTTAAAAACATTGCCATTCCAAGTAAAAGCCCTGCCTCAGATAAAGTTGGGAAATTACAAGTTAAGACATGCATCTGCCTTCTATGACAAAAACCCAAACCAACAATTACAGCAGAGAAAACAAACCAGCAGCCCACATTATAGAAAACCAAGGAACAAAAAGACAAATCTGAGACTTACACGTGTCATTATGGCTTGACCAACATATGTCCTCATTTGAAACATAATAATATATTTTCATTATTAAAAGCAAGTCAGAATTAATATGGGCATGTAGTGAGAAATGAGTTCAAACATACCTTCAGTTTGTGAGTATGGAGATTGTTGTGTTGTCTGTGATGGCTGCTCTGTGTCCTCTGTACACGCAGGCTCCTCTGGTCCACTGTTAAAAGGATTTATCCTCTGCTTTGGAAAGAAAATAAATAAACAAATATAATAAAAAATAGTCATATGTTTTGTGTTTTTTGTATGATTTTAAAATGGTTTCTTACTTTTGTGGGTGACAGTGGTTTGGAGGTCACTTGTTCATATGTGTTCTCGACATGATCCCTATTAAAAAATAACATGACAATCAGTAGGGAAATAAATCATCAGTTTGTACGTTAAAGTTAAATTTATATTAAAGAACTATTCAATACATATTTAGATTATGATTTTACATGTAAAAAAAACAATATAAAGTGCAATATTGATCTAAAACACTTAAATAATAGAAACAGCTTGTGCTCAAAACTGCAGAACTCATAGAACTTCTCAGTGACAATTCTTGTGTTTGTGTTTTCAATGTTGAAAAATACTACATTTTTTTTTTTTTTTTTAAACACGTGTGACCTGGAGTCTGAATTTTTTGAATACCATGATCAAAAGTACAGAAAAGTAGACTAGGAGATTGGTGAAAACAGGAATTTTCAGAGCCTCAAATGCAGTGAAGGATTACTCAAACACACATGAATCAATTGATATCAATCAATACCATTCTGAGTAAGTCAATGATCAGGGAACACCATTAGAACATGGAATAAAGTGTTTATAAATCAGTATTATATAATAGATCTCCTTTAAGGTTTAGGAAACGTGCCAGTGGGCCCAGAGAAATATCTGATTTTGTGACCCCATCCTTCTAAATCTGGTGGTACACATGAACATGTGAGATGTGACCTCTTAAGAAGATTATAACAGAGACTTTTTACTATAAGTTTGAATTATGTCACAACGAAAAATAGTAATCCACTACCAGACCAACAAACAATATGCTTTTGTTTACTCAAGAGATTCAGACTTTGGGTCATGCATACAGAGGTCAGAATGGTCTCGTAATTGATTTTCAAAAAAACAAAACAAAAAAAAACGCCACTGCAAAGAGGCCAAGCTCATTATTTATGCAGTTTTGAACAGGAAACTAATGAACCAGTTACTTTTGTTAAGCTGATCAATATTGCAGTTTACAGTTAAAATAATTATCTGTCACAATAACAAATTTTGAAGCATTCTATATTGCTATAGAGAAATACTGGGATAAACAATAATATTGAAACTACTTTATGCCACAAACACAAAGCAGGATAATCCCAGTAAACCCAATTTTAAATACAGTATCATTAAAAAGCTTGAGCTGCAACAAATAAATAGCAGAATGAAGCAATAATTAACAATAGAAGTCACTTTCTACCTTCTACAACTTAAATCTTAATGTATTACATAAAAATGTAATGCTAAAAAATATATTGTTCCAACTTTCATAAATTGAACGATAAGGCAATGTTGTAATTATTGTGACAGGCCTATAGTTTAATTACCGGAAAAAAGAATAATGTCTTTTTCACTGTCTAAATGTCCAAACGTGAGTGTGGTTTACCAGCTGTTGCCGGGCGGAGTTCGAGGCTCCTGTAACAGACCAGAGAGGACAGCTGGAACAAACACGTCCTGATTCTCACTGCTCACAAAACTGGGTCTCTCCGGCATCATCTGAGAGAGCTCCACTGCAAAAACACACAGGGAAAAACTAAAAAGACATGCAGTGGAGATGGGATAAAATCTCACAAAATAAAATAGAAAATTAACTTATACTTATTTGACCTTTTTTTGTTTATATTTAGCTTGAAAGCTGTTAAGTTACAGTTTTTAAGAAGTTGTAGTTCCAAAAGTAGAGCTACACTGACAGCAAAAACATAAAGTAAAACCATTTGAACTGAATTAATCAAAATCGTGCATCTTTGTGTCTTTGGAGTCAACTTTTATCAGATGTGCACGCCTAAGTACCAGTAAAACCTCACGTCGTCTCATCTTGTGGGAATTTTGTCTTGTCTCATCTCTTCACAGAAATGTTGTTCATGTTCTGTCAAATAAAGCTGCTCTACTGCTAACCTTTATTGTGCTATATTTTATATTAGATAAGATTTAGATTCATTGTCATTGTACAAAATATAACAAAACTTCAACAGAGCAAATCTGTTGCAGTAAAAATTAATAAATATAGACCCATTCTCACATGCATAGCAATAAAAACATTAGATGAGATTTAGATTTATTGTTGTTTCCTCATCAAAAAAAAAAACCCTAAAAAACTAGAGCTTTATTTCGTTCACACATGTTTATAACACAAACCCTGCAAATTTAGTTCTTCTCTCAAACAGAAAACACTAATTTGGATGATTTCCAATTGCCAATCCCTACTAAAAGTAAAAGAAAATTACCACTACATCACAAGGTGGAACAGAGCATTTTGAGCTTTAAAGATGTAGACAGAATAATAATAAGGTTACTCAAACGTGTGTGAATAAACAAAACACAACTCCAGGTTTGTCTTTGATGAGGTAACAACATTATAACATGCCTTAAATCTCACAAGAGTCAATTTTGTGTAATGTTAGACCTTCAAGTACACGGCATCAGTAACTCTTGATGCAGGGGTGTCAAACCCATTTTGGTCCGGGGGCCGTATCCAACCTACTTTGATCCCAAAGGGGCCGGATCAGAAAACTCATGGCATATAAACCCCAAAAATAACAATAAGTTAAAATATTTGTGCAGAGAAACGCAAATCTATTAGAGAAATATTTTTTAATTGATGAACTCTTTCTTATTATAATATTATAATATTATGAACAACCCGAAACTTTAAGAAAAATTCAAATTCAACATTTAAAATATTTTAGTAGAAAATCACCCAAGGGCCACATTAAAGGTCTTGGAGGGCCTTATGTTTGACACCTGTGTCTTAATGTATAATGAAACTGTATAATAATAAAGACGTACATATAGTGATGGGTTTGTGAGTGTGTTTCATGGAGGCCCAGATGATATCAGAGCCGTGGATTCTCTCCTGGTGCCGAAGTTGTTTGGTCTCATAAAACCATTCTCCCGTTAGGTACTTCAGCTGCCCTTTGTCCTCTACCATCTGCTGCAGCCTCCTGTGACACGAGAGACATTATACGGTAGATTAAAGTAAAGGCGCTGTATCTGTTTTAAAGCTGCACTATGTAAGTTTTTGGTTGGGGTCCATCACCTGCTTGTTTCTATGGATATTTCATTGCTCTTCCTGGAATGTTCCACAGTATGACATTAAACAGCTCTACCTTACATTTATTAAATTACAGGTGGGTTTATAACTCAAAAATACTTAAAAAAACAATCATTCTGACTGAACGGGGTTGCCTCACCACAGATCTGACCTGTAATTTGGTCTGGTTTGGTGTCCATGAAGATAGAAAGGTTTAATACGATAGTGTGAAACATTCCAGATAAAGCAATAACAACTTCAGGGAGAAAAGCATTTGACAGGCCTCCACAAGAAAAGTTACACAATGTACCTTTAAAAACTTGAAGTATATCTCAAACAGTTTGCACTCACTTTCTGAACACACTACTATTTATTCACTGCAATGAGTTTATAAATGCTTTTCAGAACTTTCAGAGGGCAGAGCAGAGTTTTGCTGTCACAGTAATGCTAAAACCAACTAGCATGCTAACAGCTGCTGTACTTCCTGATTCACAGATGATAAAAGTGCTTTATATTCAGATGCAGACAGCACACAGCGGTGTCATTTTACCACTAGAGCTGCTTTTATAATATTTCTGCACCATAGTTGCCAATAGGGGTGTAAGAAAAAATAATAAATTGATTCAGTGATATATCATGATACTTCATTGCACAATTCTCAAATTGATTCAAAATGCATCTGAATCAATTTTTTTAATAATATTTTTCACAAAAATTAATTAGTTGCATTCACTGTTCTCATGATTTTAAAAAAGGTAATATTTCATGAAATTTGGTTCTCGTCAAAGTGTAGTAACTTGACAATATTATTGGAAGTAATTATTGATAAATTGCAATAAATCATCCATTGTTTTAGTATTAGGATATATTGGGATAAATCAGCATATATTAAATCATGACATGCATATCATGACATGTATTGTATCGTCAGACTCAAGGCAATGCACACCCCTAGTTGCCAAGTCAGTTTCTTTACAGCTACTTTGGGCTTGTTTGCAAATTTTCGGACGGGACTTTCATGCCATAAAATGTTCTGCTTTATTTAGCTTCGCATTAATAGTCACAGTAATTATTTTAGTACAAGTTGTTAACATTTAAAGTCCTTACTGTTGTAAGTTATGCTATTAAAATGTGTACAGCTCATTAGCAAGTATATTACCAGCTGTTTCTATTTTTGTTTGGTCACTTGTTTTGGACTCGCTGAAAATCTGGCAACTCTTATCTGCACTGACACAAAGCAATTTTTAACTTAATACTATTTTTAAAAACTTTTAAAACCCCTTTAAGTAAAACCATCACTGCTTTCTCCATATAAGACTGACTGGACTCGCTTCTCCTCGGCTTTCTTCAGCTCTGCGTCTCTTTTCAGAACAGCCAGAATGGCCTCCTGCTCATCGTCCGTCAGGAAGCTCAGGTCGATCATGATGTCCGACGTTTTTCTCTCCCAATTCGCAGTGACGTTTCAAAACACCATCTTCACCACCTTGAGTTAGGCTTCATTGGGCCAGCCATGTGTAATAATCTGAAGTTAATCCATGGTAGTTAAAGTCTGTTAGCATGCCCACTCATCACGGGTCTCGTTTTGCTCCGCCATTTTGGAAACTGAAAAATACAGATAAATCATTGTTGAGTAAATATGGAAAACATTATATATTTGTGTCTCCTATTACAAGGTAAACATGTTCAAATCAAGTGCTTTTACTGAAAATAATTGCAATGTTCTTAATTATATATTCTTAATTACAAAAACATTGCACATCCATTGCAAATTTCTCTGATCTGGCCAAGACTTTAAAAATTATATCAGGTTATTCATCTTGTTTTCAGATTTATTGTCTACTTACTAGTTCAGAAACTGCTTACTTCTAGTCTAGGGGAAGTTTATTTTAACAAGTAAAATTATCTAGCTGCATGGACAGATAATTTCACCACTTTTAAGTAATTTTCTGATATATTTAAATGTTTATATCTTAAATTTTGGCCAAGCTTTTTTGCCGTGTGATGCCAAAGCTGTTTTGGTTCTCGAGACATTTATCCAATCAGAAAGTAGAATCAGCCTCACACAAGTCTCTCATTTGAGTTGCCTGTTTCTATGACTAAAACCAAATGGACCTAAAAGGACTCTCTCTGATCTACAGCCAATCATGAATAAGTGCTAGTGCAGTCTTTGCAGTTTAATGAGGGAATTCTGGAGGTTCTGAGTTGAGGCAGAACATGTCCATATACTGAGAATGAGAAAAACTTGTATGCCTCCTGTATTGTATCCTGTGATTGTACCTTTTTTAAAACTGTAAAACCACAGGCTACATACGATTCCGTTTTAAAATGCACCACTTCAATATGAACTATAATGCAGCTTTAACAGGAATAAATTGGCTCTATTCGCGCTTACGGCACAAACCAGAAAGACGTTTGGAAACCTGCGATGACTTCTGGAGGGCTCTGTTGGCAGTAGTAAGGCTGACAAAATTTAGGAAAAAATGAGAAAATGTCCCAGTTTGTTTCATCTACAAGTCATTGTAGCGTTCCCTTAATGTCAGCTATTCAACAATTACAACCATATCTCAATTTTCATAATTTCGCCAGTGCCGCACAGCTCCGAATGCACTGAGTACATGCGATTAGAAGAGATGAGGGCGCAAGATAATTCCAAACAGCACATACGTATGCAGTCTTCATTTTACCGCTGATGACATTTACATTTACAATGGGTTTTATCACAGTCGGTCGGCGAGCCCAGTGTCAGGAACTACACTGGAAATTGTCATCACATGTTTCCAAAGGTCTTCCTGGTTTGTGATGTAAGTGTGAATAGAGCCTATAATAAACATATTGCAATGTGAAGTGGCACTGGCAAGCCGGGTTCAGCTCTGATTGCAATTCCAATTTTATATCAGTAAAAGTGCACTCTGACCTACTTTTAATAAGACAGATTCAGGCCACATAGATCACACCCTATTCCTCACTTGAAATTTTTTGGACGACTTGGCTGATTTTGACCACTGCGCATAGGAACGTGCATCATTGCAGTTTTAGAGATGCTTGTACTGACTTGTCGAGCTATCAAATACATTTCTTATATATAACCCACCCAAACGTAAAAAAAGATGCTGACTGCTGGTTCCCCACTATCTGGAGAATTAGGAGTTTAGCTCGATTGACCTACTTAATCCAGTGTCTTGCTCAAATGAACAACGGCAAGACACTGCAACCACACAATGTAAATATTTCATGTTTTACTAATTAATCAACTAAAATGGCCCATCTCATGACATTTTCTAATCTATGTTATATCGCAAACATACCTGGAGTTGTGTTTTGTTTCATTCACACATGTTTAACACACAAACCCTGCATATTTAGGCTGAGTTCTTCTCTCAAACTGAAAACATGAAAATGTGCCACTACTTGCTTTTAAACTCCATACACCTTCACTAGAATCATTTTGATTATTTTAGCCCTGGAACTGACAATCTCTACTAACCAAAAGGCAAAAGGAGCTGCTAATTTGAAAACTTCGGGACATCACAAGGTGGAATAGAGCATTTTGAGCTTTGGAGATGTAGACAGACTGAAAAAAGGGTTATTCAAACATGTGTGAATGAAACAAAACACAACTCAGAATATGTTTTCAAGGAGGTCACAAAGCTCCCAAGAATCAATTTTGCATACTATAGGAACTTTAAAGGTAAGCCCTAAAAAAGTGGCAACAACAAAACCATAAAAAGCTGAACAAAACTTTAATTCACTTTCACTTGCCTTGACATGTCTTGGAAACAGACTGCTGAAAATGTTCTCCTTTCTGACCCAAGAAAAATCGGTGCTAATTTTGTAGATTAGATCTTTATGAAATAATAGATATTTGAGGAAATCTGAATAATAGAGAGTCAGCCACCTGCTTGTCTCCATGGAAATGTTATTGCTTGTCTAGAATGTTCCACAGTATAGCTTAAACTTATCTATCATGAGGGAGATAAGCAGGTTACAGCACTACGCTACATTACAGTTCAGATCTGTGGAGAGTCGCCTCTATTCACAGAAGAAATTATTGTATTTTTAAGTAATAGAAACACCTGTAATGAATATATGCTAGATGTACATGTTTAAAGTTATACTATGGAACATTCCAGGGAAAGCAATAACATCGCCATGGAGACAAGTCAATAGTATACCCTCCACTAGAAATGTTAGTTAGCTCCTAATCTTCTAATTTGTATTATCAAATTTTTTTTTGGTTTGGGGTCCGCCACCTGCTTGTTTCTATGGATACGTCTTTGCTCTGCCCGGAATGTTCCACAGTATGGCATTAAACAGATCTTCCTTACATTTATTAAACTGCAGTTGTTGTTTTTTTACTTCAAAAATACCTTGAAAAACTGCCATTTTCACTCTGAGCGGGGTTTCTTCTCCACAAATCTGACCTCTAACTTGGTCTGGTAAAAAGGTTTAATCCTACACTGTGAAACATTCCAGACAAAGCAATAAGATCTCCATGGAGACAGACCCTCCACCAGAAAAGTTACACAATGCACCTTTAAGTAATCCATATTATGAAAGTGAGTTGTAATCGCCTCTGTGCTTAGGAGCAGGGCTTTTGGTTACACAGTACAGTATTATTTTCTTACGAGGGGCCACAGATGTTTTGTATTGTACCAAAACCAAGAATGCTGCAGGTCATGTTTGCAAAAGGAAATGTGTAGTTAATGAAAGGTGTGCTTCCTTGTCCTGAATGGCCACAGTTAAACTGTATCTCATTTAACATCATGTTCTGACTACAAAAACACTCTGCAGTTTACTTTAACCTTTATAAGAATAATTTTGAATAGGCAACATTACTTTATTTGTGAAATAAAGTAGCTTACACTATACATGCATTTGAGAACCCAATATCATGTTGTATAATATTTTGTTCTCAGTTTTTTACAACACTACCTCTTGTGCATTGCCAATATATGTATTTATTTTATTCTGCGTGTACATACAAGTAGGCTATACAAATCTGTATATTTGTGCCATATTTAACACAAGTCCTTTGCTATTTTTGCTACTTTAAAGGTGCACTAAGTAACTTTTCTGGTGAAGAGTCTAACACATTTTAAAGATATAATTTACTTGTATTTATTCAATTACTGCTGTGTTTACTGCTCAGAAATACTTTTAAAAACATGCATTCTGTGAGCGGGCTTGCTTCTCCACAGATCTGACCTGTAACTTATCCTTATCATTTACTTGTTATCATGGAGATGGATACATTTAATGCCATGCAGTGGAATATTCCCATGGGGACAAGCAGATGGCAGACTTTTCACCAGAAATTTTACTTAATTTACCTATAATTATTTTGAAATCTGAATTTTATAAACTTTTTTTCCCTTTGTTTTTAGCTTATATTGTAATGTGTGAGCTATTGTGGCCAAGTAATTTCCCTTGTGAATTAAAAAAGTTTTCTACGTCCCAAGTGTAAGTTCCCACATATGACCAAACTATCTGCGAATGCAAAGCAGGTCTAAAGAACACAGTAGTTATAGGACAATGTTTGTTTAGTTTTAGGTTGACTAACAGCAACGTATAGACTACTGAAAATAAAAGCAGACGTGTGGTAACAGGTTTGCCCATTATACATTGTCCCTTGTAAATTTATCTCACTTGATCTGAACTATTTAGACTTGGGAAAGAGAAGCCTTGATCTGTGACAAAAAGTAAAACCCTTGAGCCTATATCTCAAATGTAGAAAAGTTTCCTTACCTTGGATGTGTAGTTGTGGGAGCTGCCCGGGTTTGGTGTGTGGACTTGTCCCTCTGCAGGTGGAGGGAGGAGCCACAGAGGCACGTGGAAAGGCTTTTAACTGGGCCTACACAGTTTGGGAAGAAAAACCTATGTGGCATTTTAACATTTTATTTAATACTTTTTACGTTTCAGGCTAGAATTTCAAATGACGAGGGGGTAAGAGTGAACAGAATAGATCACAATATTCAGCTGAAAGTTGCATCATTGCCGAATTATTCCTCAAGTAGACAGGGCACGAGGGCAAATTGTTATAAATTGACCCCGACGTGATTTGAACACGCAACCTTCTGATCTGGAGTCAGACGCGCTACCGTTGCGCCACGAGGTCTTGATAATCAGAATAAACAATACGATTTTTTTCTTCGCTGAATCAAGACAAATTCGGTATTGTTTGGTAGTTTTAGTCTTAGAAGTCATTCGATTGACAGCTTTGAATTGGCTCGTTTGCCTGACTTTAACACATTTCTTAATCTGTAACTTCTCCTTGACACCACCAGGGGGCAGAACTTACTTACTTAAAATCAATTCCTCACAATGTCCGTGTGTAATTCGTCTGTTAGGCCGTGATTAAAGAGCCCAGTTGGCTGAGCACGTGTGGGCTCGACACCAGTGGGTGACGTGTTTTCAGAAGATCATGACTGGATCACATGTGCGCGTGTCTGGGTCTGGACGCGCGTGGTCTCGGTAAAGGCCGTAGACCCGCTCGTGTGAAACAGTCTGAATTGCAAACGTGGGTCTACGAGACAAACTGAGCACAACAGCAGTGCACCTGGCTCCACTGGGAGCAGCAGTGTGACCTCAGGTGAACCACTTCACAAAACTCCACTGATTTGCCTGGGAAGTTACGCAATTATAAAAGTGAGACTCTTTGGACATTGTGGAGGTCGTTGTCATGGTGATATGAGACTTTCAGAAGCTTACAGTTAAAGATCTTATATTACAAAATGTTGACTCTTAAGACAAAGCTACAAAAACATACCTGGAGTTGTGTTTTGTTTGATTCACATATGTTTGAGTTCTCTTTTTTTGCTACTTTGTCTGCATCCCCAAAAGCTCAAATGCTCTGTGCCACCTTGTGATGTCATGTACTAGTAGTTTTTAAGTTATTAGCTACCTTTTACCTTTTATGCAGTATAAATTTGCAATTCCAGGCATGAAATCATCCAAATGATTCTGGTGAAGGTGCATGGAGTGTAAAAACACAGTGGGCCACTTCCTATATTACCACGTCACATCACAAGGTGGAACAGAGTGTTTTCAATCTGAGAGAAAAAAAAAAACAGCCTAAACATGCAGAGTTGGTGTGTTAAACTTGTGGGAAAAAAGTGTAACATAGCGTAACACAGTACCTTTAAAGTCTGATAACACACACTGATTTTCTGTGAACAACCCCCTGAATACTGAGAGGGGCTTCAAAGAGCACACAGAACCCCAGAAAGTCACTACATCTTAAACAGGGCTCTGAAACTCAGTTGGAGCAGGGGCCGAAGTTATAAAATCACTGTTGGTCGGAGGCTGCATATTATACAGTACATTATACATGACCACCAGACTATCATGCAGCCTCACACAGAATAAACTTGAATGAATATTTGCAATATTTATAATGGCTATATGACGCATAAAGGTAGAACTGGGTCCAGTAAAAAGTATGACATACTGAATGCAAAGTAAAACAAAGAGACTGGATCCAGTATGCGTTTTGCGATGGTTTAATGAATGGGCAACTGGCAAACTATCAATCACAGCAGCAACGTACGAGTGCAGACACAGACAGCGGAAATATTTCAAAGATGAATATTGTAAGATGAATACTGGCCCAGGTGAGTGCGTGCCCTTTAACATTTGCATGCCTGCACACACACTCCCACGCTCACATGACCTCACGCCTCTCTCAGGGGTAGACGCACATACACATGCACACTGTGCCCAAGTAGATGAGATGCTGCACTTTTAATTTAACACTTTTTACACTTTTTTTCACTTTTTACTACTTAAAGGGAGGTGAGTGTTAGAGTCTTCTTATTATTTTCACTATACCCTGAGTTTGTATCTTGGGCCTCTGTGTCCATCACTCCTCTGCCCTTGATGCTCTGTTATCTTGGCTTTTACCATAGTGCTGCTGATGTTTGTTGGTTATGATCTGACAGAGCAGCTCAGAGTCACACTGACACCACACATGAGGAGCACACACACACGCGCGCGCACACACGAGGAGCACACGCACACGCACACGCACACACACACACACACACACACACACACACACACACACACAGGAGGAGCACAGCGGCTTCAAAATCACACACAAAGACACAAACTTGGATCGTGCCTTCCTGAACTCAAGGAAGAAGCAAATTGCAGCTAAAATTGAGCAAATTCTCCTGTAGTGTATGACTTTAGATAGTTTAGTTTGAAACACAGATTTGTTGTTTATCAGCCCCTCTTATGTACGTTCGGTAAATTACTGCACAAATACAAAAGCATAAAATGAAAACAAAAGCACTGTACAGAATATATAGAATTTGAAATATAAAATGTAAATGTATTTGTTTATTTATTTTTCTACACTTGTAACATTTGTATTATGCATAATGCAGATAGTGCACATGCTGAGCTCTGTGACTATTAATTTTTAAGCCTCTAGCAAAGTTATGTAATATGTTTATACCATTGTGTATTCCATTGTATCTGTGAAAAATATTGAGTAGAATATCATGTATTTGTCTTGACACACTGTATATGTCTGAGTCTGATCATAGCCCATATCTCCATTTGACCTTGGTACAATAATGAACTAAAGCAGTGTTTATACAAAATAGCTAAAGCATAGCTATTTCTCCAGTTTACAACAAATAAAGTGTTTTAAGATAAGACTGCCCTGGTTTAATCCTCTAGAAATACTGTGAAGTGAACATCCTCAATAAAAAGCTCCCTGTTGAACACTGAGGCTTTGATTAAGTCACCAATTAATTCCACCATGAAAGTCCAACATCTCACACAGAAAGAGACCACTTCTTTAAACCTCATCTGAGCGAACAGGAAGTGGCACCACAACAAAGAGTCCTCTCATCATGGTGGAGACGCGGTGCCAAGCAGGATGTAGCTTCACCATCAAGGTTCCTTTATGAGTGTCTGGTGGGCTCGTACTGTGGGGGACCCTGCACCTGGTTCCACCATCAGATGCCTTCACATGGAGAGGAGACAGTAGCATGCTTGTAGGCTATACAGGTTTTATTTTAGTTTTAGTTTCTTCAGACCATAGACTGTATATAATGGTACAGACTTAATAATTACATAAGAGACTAAAGTATAATTATATCAGAAGACCTGTCGAACCTGATCAGACTGTATGGCTTTTCTCCTGTAGTGTTTATTTTGTATAGTTTACTTGTTGCATTTCATTTAGCTCTTAATGTAGCCTACCTATTGCTTAAAGATTGTATATAATGCGAAATTGATTTTTGTGAGCTTTAAGTTATGTCTTGCTTTAAGTCAATATCAATACCTCCTCGAAAGCAAAGCTGGAGTTGTGGTTTGTTTCATTCACACGTCTGAGGAAACCTTTATTAGTCTGTCTACATCTCCAAAGCTCAAAATGCTGTTTTCATGTTAACAGCTACATCCATCCATTTTCTTCCACTTATCTGATATCGGGTCATAGGGGCAGCGGCCTAGGCAGGGACTCTCAGACTTCCTTCACCCTGGACACTTCCTCCAACTCCTTCGAGGGACCCCAAGGCGTTCCCAGACCACCCGTGAGACATAGTCCCTCCAGCGTGTCCTGGATCTTCCCTGGGGCCTCCTTCTGTTGAGACATGCCCAGGAGGCATCCGGAACAGATGCTCCTCTAGATGTGGAGGAGCAGCGGCTCTACTCCGAGCCGCTCCCGTGTGACTGAGCTCCTCACCCTATCTCTAAGACCCTGCGGAGGAAACAAATTTCTGCTGCTTGTATCCGTGATCTCGTTGTTTCGGTCATTACCCAAAGCTCAGGGTAGGTGAAGGTAGGAACACAGATCAACCGGTAAATTGAGAGCTTTGCCTTTAAGCTCAGCTCTCTCTTCACCACAATGGTCCGATACAGCAACTGCATCACTGCAGACGCTGCACCAATCCACCTGTCAATCTCACGCTCCATCCTTCTTTCATGAATAACGCCCCGAGATACTTGAACTCTTCCACTTGAGGCAGGGACTCTCCACCCACAGCTACCAGCTTGGAAATTCCAGACAAAACAAAATTCCAAACAAAACAACACATCTCTGGGTGTGTTTTTGATAAGGAAATGACATTATAATATAGATCATAAAATAGCATAATATAGGCCCTTTAAAATCAAAATCATATATATTTTAAGTTTTTAAATGTTTAATATTTGAGAAATCAGACAAAAACATACCAAAACTCTCACCATACACTCACTGTTGCACTAATGTAGCTGTCAAGTGACGTACAGTACAATACACATTTGATTATTCTAGTGGATTTATTGACAAAACTATGAAAACATCAGATTAGATAACTCATTCGACCTTAGAATCAAGTCAGTAGGAACAGTGTGTAGTTTTAGACTCCACAAGTTACAAATGTCAAAAAAAAATAAATCAAAATATAGTGAGACAGGACTGTGGAAGCTTGCACTTTATTGGAAAACAAAAAATAACAAAATATAAACTGCATGGACATTACAGCAAATATGCCGAGTAAATGGATAAAGCCCTTTCATGCTTAGTTCAGTTTTCATGTGCGTGCCCGCCCCTTCTGTGTGATTGGTAAGATCTATAGAGACACAATAAAGCACCGATCAACAGTGCTTTAATCTATGGTGCCCGAACAGACCCACAATGCACTGCTTCCTCTATGGCATTTGGTTCACGCAGGGATATCAAGATTATTTGGTTATGGATTAAGCTCATAACAGAATCAACGCAAAAAAGTATATTTATCTGGACAATTTTAGAAGCGATTTTAATTTAATTTATACTCCAAAAAGTAAATTACTATTCTTTTTTTTTCTCTTCTGGCAGTTTATGTCACATTAACAGAAAGTTTGATTGAAAGCTTTGCTAGATTTGAAAAAGAAAGATTTGCTAGAAAAAGTTAAATCTGAAAAGCACTGGAAATTAAACAAAAATTAAACAAAATGATTGAGTTTGCCATTTGGTTGTAGTTTCGATTGGTGGTTTTCTGATTCTAGAGTGAGATCATGTTTTAATATACAAATATTAAGACAAACAGATCATTTTTTTTTCTCTTGGCAACATTGTACTTTGCTTTGAAATATCCAATAGATAAATTCACAATTGCTGAACCTGATCATTTCAATTTACCATTTATTCATTACTATTTATTATTTATTTATTACGCATGGGATAGTGAACACAATTTTGATTCTTTGTACGCTCTTTCTATGAAGAATTGGCAACAAATTTTTTTAACTTTAACTTGACTTCTATTAAAAAAACTCGCTGTATTCCATCTGTATCAAAGGTGCACTGCACAACTTTTCTGGTGAAGAATCCGACACCTGTCCGTCTCCATGGAGATGTGACCGATTTGCCTGGAATGCTCCACGGTATAACTTAAAACGTTTCCATAGAACATTTATTCATTACGGGTGTCTCTATTGCTCAAAAATACAATAATTCCTTCTGTGAATAGCAAGGACTCTCCGTAGATTTGTGCTGTAACTTTATCTTCTCCCTCATGATTGATAGGCTTAATCTATACTGTGGAACATTCTAGACAAAGTAATATTATTTCCATGGAAACATCAGAGGGCAGACATTCCACTAGAAATGTTACACAGTGCACCTTTAAATATCATTAGTCTATAGAAAGCCACAAAGTTGAACCGTTACAATCTGGTATCATGACATCCCTAGATTCAACCCTCCCAACTTTTTCCCTGTTTGCCCCAAGTGCCCAAAATGCCCTCGCTAGTGCACGCCTATAAAAACAAGTACGAAGCATGAGCAGAGCCATTAACATTCATGTTGGAGGTGCAGCCAGGAGCGTCGTTAAATGTAAGAATAAATGGCATGCTAAGCGGCAAAAAGCACCAATGCAGATTCCAATGCGATGTCGCCCCACACGCCAAAAGTATGTAGTGCTCAAGTCAGAAATGTTCCCTCAACAGATCGGTACAAACTGAGTCCACTAAGCATCAGGTGTTAAAGGTTATGATTTTGTCTTCTTTTTTTTTAATCCATAATAGGGCTGAGCGATATGGCAATAAAAAAATCTTAGCATGATTTTTTTTTTTTTTTAGAAGAGAGATCACAATTTCCTGCTTTTTCTGTTTTAGACTGAAGCTGTTTAGGCCAGTAACTAACCATTATTTTTGTAGTTGATGAGTTAGTGTCTTTTTCTGTCATTAAGAGTTAACTAAAGCCATCTACTGCTTCTGAGACTTCACTCTTCACTGTGACGGGTTGAATCGAGCGGTCACTCACTCTGAGCTTGACTGGGGATGACCAAGGGGACAAGTGGGTGTATTTGATTCTGATGCAACAATAGTTTTACCAAAAGTCAAATTTACATCATAATATCAATACAACATTTTAGGTCCTCTGTTATTTTTATGGTAAATTCATCTTTTCATCTGTCTGCTTGAATATAGCAGATTCAGGCCGTTGCTGTTGTGTCCCTAGTATTGATATTTTGCAACTCATGTCATCAACATTTCCTGGGATTGTGATGCGAACTATAAGCACCGCTCTGTCTGAAGCTTTGTTACTCAAGTTGGAGTTTAATCTGATCTTTGTTTGAACACAATCTGACCAGAAAGGGCTGACTTAGATGGAACTACAACATGTGAGAGGTTTTGTGCAGTTAGATAAATCTCTCACACATAAAATTACTGTTAGTCACTCACTTTTTGTCAAAAATCAAACTCAACAGGATCGTGAATGCTCGTATTGATCACAGGATCCTAAAAATGTGTTGTTTAAATCCATTTTGTATTTTTTCTTGAGTTTTCAGACAGTCTTAAAACTTTTTTGGTAGTTATTGCTAGTGGTGTGCAAAAATATCAAAATATTGTATCGTTTAATGTGATGATACAATATCGATATCATGGGCTGCTATATCGATACATCGCCAAGAGCATTTTTTACTAAATTATTTTGTTATAGTGCTACAGTGTTGTTGCTTGTTTAGTGGAAGTACTCTTATTTATGCAACACATTTGACATTTTCACAGTTATGATTATTAAAATGGGCGTGTTTCATATTCACTTTGCACAAAAATGGTTTAACAAAGACTTAGTATCACAGCCATGATATTTTTATTGAACCTTATCGACTCAATTTGAAATATATACAACTGAATCGAAAGCTCACGGTATTGTATCGTATCGTGGCCTACGTTTCGTATCGGCAGGTTGTTAGCGATACCCTCTTGTTATTGCTAATGTGTGCACTGTGTCACCATGGTAACTGATGAACACTGCGCCATAGAAATACATAGAAACACCTTCCCAACTGACGTCTCTGAAAAGTGTCAATAGGATGGAAAGGCAAGCACTGAGTCGTAATTTGAAGAGATCTCATCATAATCACACATTATCACGATTCGATTTTTTCCTCACCGTATCGCCCAGCCCAAGTCCATACACGTGTGTACTGTGACCTTTATAGGCCACGGTTAACTGCACAAGGCTTCATGCGAGTACAGAGAATATTCAGAGCCCCAACAGCAAAACAACACATCTCTTATATTAACTTCTTTTAAAAATCATCTCAATCACTCCAAATCCAACTCTACAATCAGTCATACCTATGTATATAAACCTGAAGAGCCGCCATGAGGGAGGCCAATGACTAGTTACATTTCCTTTTTAATATCATCCTCTTTGCAGGTAATTATAAATAAATACAAACAAAAAACAAAACAAGGAATGTCTACTGCAAACAATATACAAAATTAAAGAAACTGTGGTATCAACAGGAGTAAATGTGATTTTTTTCTTTTTAATCTAGATGGGTAGAACTTCCTGGGACAAAGAAAGACTGCTTTGAATCTTGTTATTGTTCTTTTTCAGGTACGATGGTGTGAAAAATGTTCCCTTTCTTGAGTGCAGGGTGTAGCAGAGTCTGATCAAACCCTGTCCATGTGGTTTGTGAATATTGACAAACGCACTTTTCTCCTATTGACGCAGACATGACAAGATGGGCACAAGTCCACACTGATGCCGCTCTGAGAAGGCCCCTCCGATCCGTGTGGTTTTATTCCTCGAGTCCATATCGGGCCGTTCCATCTCAGAGGGCGATGAGTTTATTAGGAGCAAACCGAAGCCTGCTTTGAGTTTTGACTGATTATAAGCTTCTTCAGGTGGGAAAACTCCTCCCCGTGTACAGGTTACATGAACTGCATCTAGAGGGAGCAAAGAAAAATGTGTTATATATTGTTTAGAGATGATACTTTTAGTGGATTTAAGTAATTTAAGTGCAATTAAAAGGTGGAGGAGCATCCATCATCTGCTTGTCTCCATGAAGATGTCACTTTGCTGAGAACAATGAGTCTTTTCATACAAAGTACCACCAGCAAAAAAAAAACAAAAAAAAAAACGATTTGGCTTTCCAAGGACTAACCAGATCTAAACCAGGTCTATATTAGAACTACTCCAGGTCTAATTTAGGGCTAAACCAGGTCTAAGGGTATGTTTATATGATGACGGTTTCAACAGAAGAAGTAAAAGTGGTGTTGCGTCTTCACTTTTTATTCTGTGTTTAGACCAGCATTTTCGGGAGGAAATATGTGTGCATACAGTGATGCAGAAGTGTGTAGAATTTGATTGTGTATGCATGCTAGGTGGTGATGTATGTGACGTAAACGTTTTGTGACTTGGGCAGTGTAGACGGAAACTCTACGGCAGAGTGTATTCAACTTTTCCACTCTGGAGGGTGGGTTCAGATTTTTGCCTTTTTAAGCCCCAAAAACGTTGTTACAGTCTAAACAAAAGGCACTTCCGATAAAATATTTTTTCAGTTTTACCAGCAAGCGTTCTTGTGTAAACAGGTCCTAAAAGTGGACTACATAATATTCACTGTTGTTCTTGTAGAAGAAATAATCCAGGAGGACAAAAGTGGATAAAATTAACTGGATGAAACACAAACCAAGGACCACCTGAAGAAGCTTGTTTACCACAGTCGTCTAAAATGTTCCACAGTATTGCATTAACTGTATTTATCTCCATGAAGACAAGCAGGTGATGCAACCAGGACAAATTAATGATCAGATCTTCAGAGAGAGGATTATATGTTTTTCAAGGTATTTTTCTTCACAATTAAACTTTTGTAACTGTATAAATGCAAGAGTTTAATGTTACACTGTGGAGCATTCCAGACAAAGTCATCACATCTTCACGTAGACAAGCAGGTAGCAAACCCCCCGACAGAAAATCTACATAGAGCAACTTTAACTAACATAAGGCTGTGCAATACACCAGTTTAAAATGGGCTTAGCTTTCGAAATGAACTCAATAAATAAATACAGGTAGTTATTAGAACCTATATTAAAAACAGTTTCAACATGCGTCTGCTGGGATTACATAACCAGTGCTTTAGGCCTAAACAACTGAACAATACCTACATTTAACCTGGGAAATGGCGAGCTGCTGTGCTCAAGGCCAACTTCTAACACAGTATTGAACAAAAAGTGATTGTGTGTTAGTTTAATTGATTAGTTCTGTCAGTCCACCCCAGGGCAGTTGTATCTGACCACAGTATGGAGTGACTGCAAAATGCAAATGTAAAATGGGTGCTAAAAGAATCCAATGCATATTTTTATTATTATATTTTTGTATTATAACTAAAACACTGTTATACTGCACTACCTTAAAACTCCAAGAAACATAAATTCAACCAGAAGTGGGAGTTTTTTTGTGGCTGGTATTACAAAGCAGTGAGCAATCCATTTACAACTAGACCAGCATCATTCCAGGAAACATTTATTTAAAGGGCCCATATTACACTATTTTCTGATCTATGTTTCCATGTTTCTGCATCAAAAATATTCCTGGAGTTTTGTTTCATTCACAAATGTTCAACGCATAAACCCTGAATATTTAGGTTGGGTTCTACTTACAAAGAGAAAAAAACATAGTTCCACCTTTTAATAGTCATGTGGTGATACAGAAAGTGCTCCACTGTGTTTTTAAACTCCATACAGCTTCTCTTGAGTCAGTCAGATGACCTCGTGACCTAGGAATTGCCAATATCTACTGAACAAAATTAAGGTAAAAGGTAGCAGTTAACTTGAAAACTACCACGACATGACATCACAAGGTAAAACTGAGCATTTTGAGCTTTGGAAATGCAGACAGACTAATAATAATAATAGATTACTCAAACTTGTGAATGAAACAAAACAACTCCAGGCATGTTTTTGACTACATATAATGGCTTAATGCTCACAAGAGTCCATTTTGCATAATATAGGGCCTTTAACAATTAATTTTCTTTGTGATGTTTTGAATCTCCAAGCCTGTTAAAGAAACCCAGATATTTTCTTTGTGTTCTGTTCTGGGTTGCTTTAATAGGCTACGTAGAGAGTCATGTGTGATACTAGCCTTGCTTTAATATAGCTGCAAATGAGTGAAGGAAAATGTATTCTTAGAAGTGAAACAGTCCGTGTGGAGGCAAACAGACAGAAAATCAAGTAAAAGTGACATGCACCTTCTGTTAGAGCTGCAACTAACCAATATTTTAGTAGTCGACTAGTCAGCTATTATTTTTTTCAATACTTTCAACTTACAACTACAGTGTAATATTGAGGAAAATCAAAAATTTAGATTGTTATAAAAAGATCTTTGACTGTTTGTATCATAGACTGTAAAAAGAAGTGGACTAATCGATCATCCATAGCGTTAGGCTCCAGTCAAATGAAGCTATGTAGATACTGTATGTTCATTTATTTTACAGCCTTATGGTCTGTACAGCCCAGATAACAGTCATCAGTAGTACTTATAAGTACACTTTTATTAGCGTTAATAAAGAATAGCAAAGGAGAAATAAAATTCTGTCAACTGGACAAAAGTTGTTCTTGTTGTTTGTTTTATTTTGTTTGTTTTTTAATAAAGATGAATTAATAAGCTATTTGTTTGCTATTATGAATTAAAAATTATTCAGGCTTAGTACCTACTTCCTAACTCCTAACCTAAATCCTTCTTAATAAACACTTGTTCAACATGAATCTAGTCTTTGTTCATGCTTTATTAAGGGTACATTGTGTAATTTTTCTGGTGGAGAGTCAATCATACACTTTTCTCCGTGGAGATGTTATTGCTTTGTCTGGAATGCTTCACAGTATGGCATTAAACCTTTCCATCTCCATGAGCACCAAACCAGACCAAGCTACAGGTCAGATCTGTGGAGAGGCAACCCTGCTCACAGTCAGAGTGTCTGTTTTTCTAGGTATTTTTGAGCTATAATACCACCTGTAATTGAGTAAATAAAATGTAGAGCTGTTTTAATGCCATACTGTGGAACATTTCAGGCAGAGCAGTGACATATCCATAGAAACAAGAAGGTGATAGACCCCCAACCAAAAACTTACTGATATGAGTACAGTTATTGTAATAGTTGACTAGTGACAGTTATCCAGATTAATAGTTGCAGCTCTACTCTCTGCCACATTTAGACTTGTAGATGCTGTGAGCCACACACAGGGGGCGCTGTACCTAATTGCGCTCTATAAGAAATTATGCACAAAGAGCTGAGCGAAAGGGTCCTCCCCGGGGACTCTGAAGGGGCTCAGACTGGAGGGGCTAGAAGTGGAAGGTGACTGACATGAAAGGAGATGAAAACACAGAGAGAGACATGGAAAGAAGAATGAAGTAAATCAAGAGAAGCTTTAAGAAATACATCAGAAAGACCGGGTAGCAGATGTCATTTAAGAGTGCACTATGTAACTTTTCAGGTGGTTTCCATGGAGATATAAATAAGTTTAGTGCCATACTGTGACATTACAGATTCCAAAGCATTACTATCTCCATAAAGAACAGTAAGTAGAGAATGCTCCACCAGAAAAAAATATATAGGGCATGTACCTGATTTTACAGTTTTAAAATGTGAAAAAACATAATGAATAATTAATGTATACTGAAAAGTTTATTCTAAAAAGTTTGCAGAGTAATCCTTCCCTTTCCCAGTGCATTCCTCGCATCCTAATTATTCACCGCAATGAGTTTTATAAGAGGCCAAAGCGGAGTTTTGCTGTCATGCTTACAGCAACTAGCATGCAAATACTTCCTGCTTCATGGACATTAATAATTCATAATTAAATGCAAACCGCACAAAACGGCCTAATTTTACAATATCCATGTACAGAGGTAAGACGGATTTTACTTTATCATATGAAATAAATCGGGTGCAGGCTCTTTAACTATGACTTCTAAACAGATTTCCAGGAGGCACGGAGGAGTGGTTTACCTGTGCTCCAGAGGCAGAACCGAAGGGGTTGGCCGGCCTCATCACAGGCTGAGTGTACATCATTGTGGGCTGGGTCATCATCATGGAACCAATGTGTGGAGGCTGAGGAGAGGAGACACAAAACAACTCAATACATATGCCAAAACAGATAATCTTCCTTCTACCAGTGCTACTCGGGCAACCAGTCAGTGCTGTATCTGGGGACTCATCTCCAGATCTTGAGCTAGTCTTGATTAGAACTACCAAAGCTGGAGGATTTGTCTTATTGCGCATGTGTTTGGGTTGATGGTGGAAACCTGAGTGTCCAGAGAAGCTCACTAAGACATGGAGAGAAACATGTAAACTCCACATAAAGAGAGTCGCACCAGGAACCCTCTTGCTGTGAGGCGTGAAAAACTATATTCCTTTTATATCAGGACATGTCCCAATACCTGGAAATCTCATTAATTTCAAAATACATCAAGATTTTGTAGATTACCTGGATCTGCTGACTCTACCTGACCAGTCCTCCTGTTAAACTGCACTGAGACCTTTGACTGAGAAGCATAGTGTACATGTTGCTAAACCAAAACTTGAGTTTCCCTCGAAATCAGTAAAGTTCTCTCTCTCTGTATCTCTCTCTTTCTCTAACTTCTTAGGTTCTTTTTAAAGACAATGCAGTAAAGTGTATTTACCTTGTTGACATGTTTCGGCTGCTAGCTGCAAGCCATCTTCAGAACTGTCACCGGTGTTGGTGGTGACGTGTCATATATCACCTGTTGTTACTTCCTGTAGGCGTGGTCAGCCTGATGGACCTGGCAGGTCGCTCAGACTGACCACGCCTCCCGTCGCCCGGTGTTCTCTTTCTCTCTTGCTGTATCCGTTTCTCTCTCTGTATCTCTCATTGTATATCTCTCACTCTCTCTCATTGTATCTCTGTTTCTCTCTCTCCCTGTATCTCTCTTTGTATCTCTCTCTACCTCTGTCTCTGTTTCTCTCTCTCTTTCGTTGTATCTTTCTTTCTCCGTTTTTCTATCATTGTATTTATCTCTCTATCTCTATGTACTGAATCTCTCTGTACCTCCTTCTCAATCTCTACTATTCAGTGTTATTGTGTAATTTTCATTCTGTTGCTGAAGATTTGTCTTGCTAGTTTGTACAAAAGCTAGTTACGCTATGTTTTCTTCAAACTTGGTGCACTTCGCTGAATATGTGCCAGTTGCGCGAGGCGGGTGCAGTCCCTGTCGCCTTACCATTCCATATGCCATCATGCCCGTCGGGGTGGTTGCCGGGAAGGCCATGACAGATGGAGCCTGAAGTGACACAAAAACACGATGAGAGAGACATATCTGGGCCACAGAATCAGGATGCTCAAACTCAGGCTAAAAGTAAATTAATAAAACAACAATACCAGAACTCAGCATTTCTATTTATTCTAAGAGGAATGCTCCATACGCTCATTTGGAAGATTTCAGCCCTGTAATTTCCAAAAGGCAGCTGGTAACTTCTTGACATCACAAGCTAGAACAGAGCATTTTGAGCTTTGGGGATGTAGCCAGACTAATAACTCAAACGTGAGGAGTAAATGTAAATGTGAATGGGCTCACATCATCACAGATCTGACTTGTAACTTGACCAGGTAGCGTCAAGTGCTTGTCCCCTTTGAAATAAGGAGTGAGCCACTGAATCAAGATGCTCAAACAGTCAAAAAAAAATAAAAATAAAAATTAATAAAACAATAATACCAGAACTCAGCATTTCTATCTGTTCTGAGGAGTAGGAATATGCATTGCTAAGCTTCACCTGCATTCACAGCTGCAAGGCTCGAGCAGGATATGTGTGAGCCAACTTTGTTCTGACTTACAGACGACCTACGCCTCATTCAACTTCAAAGACCCCTGCTGCTACGCTCTCCCCCTGAACTGCTTTCACAAAAATTCAAAGTTAAAAAGGCATAACAAAAGCGTGTTACTGATTTTGGGGGAATGACAAGGAATTTGTTGTGAGTCTGGATATGATTTTGTTCGTTTTTTGTGTCGTTTGAGTTGTGTCCAATAACCAATTTGCCAGTGCCAATATTAAAGAACACATTGTGCACTCTTGTGGATTTATTTCCCTTTTAAACATGCTTTTTGATTACCTGGAGATATGCATTTCACATTTCCCAACTTAAAAGGTGCACTGTGTAACTTGTCTGGTAGAGAGTCCACCACGAGCTTGTTTCCATGGAGATATTATTGCTTTGCCAGTAAGGTTCCTCAGTATGGCATTGAACTCATCTATGGTGCATTTATTCAATTACGGGTGTTTTACTGCTTAAAAAAAAACTACAAAAACACGCATTCCTACTTGACCTGGAAGTATTGTAGGCTTGTTTCCATGGAAATAGGTAAGTTTAATGCCATACTGTGGGTCATTCTAGACAAAGCAAAAACAGAAGACAAGCAAGTGGCAGACTCTCTTTAAAAATAATGTTTACAATTGGAAAACTGTCTACATCAACTAGTGTACCTAAGTACGGTCCGATATGGACTTTCTAAGCAGTTACTGACATCCAATAATTAGCTTCCAGTTGTGTCAGAAAACCAGCATTTAACAAATACTAATATTGATATTTTAAAATTCATAGCAAGGCTGTCAAATGTATGTTAAAGATTACAAATTAGCTTTTTAAAATAATTTGTTGTATGATTGTGTAAACATATGGCCATATTTTTAGTGTAACAGCTCCAATTTCCACTTTTATTCATTACTCTGTTTCAAAAAGATAAATCCGATGCGCTGAGGACAATCTGAGAATCACCCATCCAAAACAACAAAAATACATTACTGATTTTAGGAAAAGAACAGGCATTTTTCTGCACATCATGAAATAGCTGCAAAAATCATGAGCACAGCAATCTCCTGCATGTATGTTGTCAAAGTGTGCGACATTGTGAGAGACAAAGGCTAATGAAAGTCAGTGATAAGAGCTGCGCAGTGGTGTTGGCAGGTGCTGACAGGTGCTGGCAGGTGCAGCATTCGTATACAGCAATATTAGAAAACGAAACAGGCCTTTTGTGTGAAGCCCCTGAAGTGATAACAAACCCAGGTTGTTCTAATGCGCAGCCACAGCACTCCGGGGAAGGATACAATTCATTAACTATTCACTCGAGGGCCACGCAGGCACAAGTCAGACAGGCTGCTGGCAAAATCTCAACATGAAATAAAACTCAAGATCTAATTCCACATGTCCCGTTATTGATGCACTGACGTTTGAGTGACAGGTCTAGACATGAGAATCACACTGGGATTACTACGAACAGACTAATGTCAAGCCCCCATCCATGAGTTTTAGAGTAATAAAAAAAATTACAGTTGTAATAGCAATAAATAGCGGTGGGGACAAGAGACAATTTCCACAAGAACAGTTTGGATCCACGGGAACGAGACAAGACGAGATTTTGACATTGTTCCCAATACATTTTGTGATTCAATTTCTAATTTTGGCCTCACATTTAATTTTTTTTTAATTATTATTTTTTATTTAATATTTTAGGTTTGCATTGTAGTACCACTTTTTGGAACTAAAAGAGCTGTAACTCAACAACATGTGACTTTTTTGACCAATCCTTACACTTACAAGATCATTTTTCATTGCACATCTTATGTCCAATTTGTTTTGCGAGATCTTGTCCCATCTCAAGCAATAAACAATTCAAAACTAAAAAGTTTCTTTATTAGTTCCTTGAGACAGGAAAATGTATTTTCTGCATTTGCCTCATCCTTCAGTACAGTTCAGTACAGTAATGGTGAGCCCTTTTCTAAGATATTGAGCTAGTCTTGGTCAGGACTGCATGATTTGATTATTGCATGATTTGGGAAACCTCCTAGACACGATGAGAACATGCAAACTCCACACATAAAGGCCCAGGCGATGAAGAAGTCAAACCTGGAACCTTCCCGCTGTGAGACATAAGCCAATCACATCTTACCACCACGAAGCCCATGACTTGTCAACTACCTAAAATGCTGACATGAATACAGCCTTTTTGTTCAATAGGATCTCTCTATGGTCATTATGACACCATATAAACAAAATGAAGGGCACTCAAGAGCCCAGAACTAAACAAAAGGGGAAATTCAGGAAAACTCCAGGCCATCCAGGAAACTGCCCATCTCTACTCACACTCCACAAGGACACACTTGGCATCTGACAAAACAGGAAAGGAGTCTAACATTAGCTGAAAGCAGTAATAATCAGAGCTGTGGAGATGGTCCGTTCTGAGGCTGCCCAGACAGAGCCAAGTGCTGCTAATGTAGTGAGCGCGGGCCCCAGCATGCAGAGGGCCATAGTGTTAATGGACTTCCTGTAGTTTGTGAGTGTGGCTTCTGTGAAACTGAATGAGAGCGGTTATTTTAAGGGCACATGCCAGCGCGAGGCGAAGAACTACGAGAAAACTCTAAATGGGACTTACGTATTGTGGGAATAGCATGCCGTTCTGTGTGGACAATCGCACATCACACACGCATGTATTAGGTCCAAAGGGAAAAGAACAAAACGACCTCGCTAGATGAGAGTTAAGCGTGTCGTTACCATGGTAGCGGGGTTCCAGGTGGTGGAGGGGGCAGTCTTGGGCTGCCAGTTGGTTCCTCCGGTTAGCTTCTTCTCTCCAGGCTGACTCCAGTGCAGATCGCTGTGTGGATACGATCACAGTGTTACCTCTGTCCTAAAAGCTTGTGTAAGGAAAGATGTGAAGTTAAATATTAGCAGCACTTACTTCTTTGCTGTTCCATTGCCAATCCCCAAATCTACAGGAAGGGAAAAAGCAGTGAAGTTGACAGTTTCCACAAATCTTAATATTTTTTAGCACATGTATATTTGTTTAAATGTGCACTATGAAACTTTTTAATGGGGATCTGACACCTGCTTATTTCCAAGAAGATGTTATTACTTTGCCTGGAATATTTCACAGTATGACATCAAGCAAATCCATCTTGCATTTACTCTGAATGGACTCTGACTTAACTTGACCAGGTAGCATCTGGTAAAACAATATTAATAACGTAGACTGCAGTATCAATTCACTGCCTTGAGTATTATTTGGTATCTTTTACAAAATAATTTTATGACAGTGGTACAATTTTGAATCAGTCTTTATAGAGTCCTTTACAACACTCAAGGTGTCCAAAGTGCTTTTCCAATAAAATCAACAGTATAGAACCATGTAAAACATTTAAGTCAAATAAAAAATAATTGTGCAGATTGTTAATAGATTACTGTGTGTTGAAGGCTGAAGTCTGAAAAGTTTTGAGCTTGGACACACACTCGTTTTTCACATCAAATTCTGAGGGACGATGTGATTTTTTTAGCCTGATTCATCAGTCGGTTTCCCTTTGTAAACCTCACAGAATTAGGATTCGTTCGCTCGACGGTAGGTGGGTACTTTTTTAATTTAACCAATTGCTACTATTTGGTCGTGACGTATGTAATGTGCCGCTAACGGGGCTAAATGGCAAATTAAGCTTTTCCCAAATCCCGTAGGAAGAAGGGCAATAACGTCTTTCCCCTTGATAACATTCTCTTTATTCCGGCTTTACATCCTTGATCTCGGGAATCGCTGCCAACACAGAATGTACGGCTTCGTCTATATCCATCTCGACCGCTTTGTTTACTGTTGTGCTGTACCACAAAAGGGACCCAGACAGGCGCTTGAGTGTGACATCATGGCTTCACAGCTCTGATTGGCCAGTGCGCGGTCTACAACTTTCAGGGTTCTTGCAAACTGTCTAGTGTATTCTGATTCTTGACCTTGACACTGGAGGGAAATGAAATTGAGTGGGGGCACTAGGTGGCACCAGCCTGGCTAGTGATTTTTAGCCCTATCAAAAAAGTTCCACAGTGCACCTTTACTTCAAGTGTAAACCCATGAACCCAAACTGAGCACTTACTGCCGACCAGGTTGGCCAGAGAGGAATCCAGATCGTTTGACACGAGCTTGTTGGCCTGCTGTCCGTTGGGAGTCAGGGCTTGGTTGGGAGAAGATGCCACTGTGGGTTTGAGGATGCCACCTAAAATATCTTAAAGAAAAGGGGCAAGACGGAGGGAAGAGGAAGGAGGGGTAAAGGTGAAAGGTCGGGGAGCCCAGAATCGGTGACGACACAATACGACAAACAATAACAAACAAACAAAAAAAAAACACACAAAAACACACACACAAAGAGAGGATGAGTGGCATGAAGAAGCAGTGCTGGCATAAATGTAACAATAGGCCTGTCACAATAACACATTTTGACTGATATATTATTGAAGGAATAGATTTAATTTATATAGATGATAAATTATAATATCGAAATGTATGCCACTGACACAAGAAGCCTAAAGCAGAATTATTCGAAACAGGATTATCTCCAAAGTTCTCTAAATGTATATTAAGATGCAATAAATAAATGTCGGAAATCAAATACTTAATTTCCATCTATAAAGTGTTTTAGAAACTATACTAATCTTCATCTTAACTGTACATTATGTGCCATTGCTGGTGGGGGTTTGACACCTGCTTTGCCTGGAATATTCTGCATTATGGCATTAAACTTCACATTCGTTATTCACTCATTTAGTCATGTATTAAATTACGGGTATTTTTATTGTTAAAAAAAATCCCTGAACGTTTATTCTCACGTTCAGTAGAGTCGCCTCCCCACACCTTGAATTAATGGCATCACCTGATAGATACATTTAATACCATACTGTGTAATATCGTATTTCAACAACGCAAGCAGGTGGAGGACCCCATAAAAATTACATAATATAACTTTCAATGCCTTCATAGTACTGAAAAACAACGTTCCCGACTAGTACAAAGAAAAAATACGCATGGTAAATATTGACCTCAAAAATGATTGTTCCATCTATAATATGTTGAGTGTTAATCGATATAGTAATTATCGTGACAGGCCTATGAGCAGCTGGTACAGTGTGAGGAGTGTGTGTGCAGTAGACTCACCCAGACATGCATATGCCATTGATTATGCCATGCAAAAAGCCAAGGCCCCGCAGTGAGAGAGAGCCCAGGATGAGGGGAGAGAGAGAACAAGTGAGTGTGAGCTGCCTACAACAAGTGAACACGACTGAGGCCGGCCGCACAAAGATCTATCTAAGGGCTATAAAATAAGTAAACCATAGCATATTTAATATATGTGCAGATTTTTTTAGATAATACGCAAGTGGTTTGAAGGTTGAGTCTTAAAGCTTAAAGTGCATATGACAGGTCAGACTACACTTTTCACTAAAACACAACCAACATATATCCTTATTCTATATTCATTATTCTTTATGATGGATCCTCATTAGTTATTATCAAGAACAGACTGTATAAAGAAGTGGACTAAGGGAGTGTGACGTCACCCATAGCATTCGTCTATGTGATGATACAGTATCAATATCGTGGGCTGCTGTATCGATATAGAGTATTTTTTGGTATATTTTACTAAATTATTTTGTTACAGCGCTACAGTTTTGTTGCCTGTTCAGAGGAAGGAAACTCATTTATGCGACACATTTGACATTTTCACTGTTTTGATGATTAAAATGGGCGTGTTTCATATTCACTTTGTACAAGAAGTGGTTTAACAAAGACTTTCAGAATCACTATATTCATCATAATTTTGCCATAATTTTTTACTGTACCATATCATGTTGTATCCAATCGAAAGCTCACTGTATCTAGATATGTAATGTATTGTGGCCTATGTATCGAGATATGTATTGCATCAGAAACTTGCGCAGCCCTGCTTACAGTTACAGGGCGAATTTGTCAGAGTTCCATATTAGGAATAGGAAGGAGCCGGAAGTGCCTCATGCTCACTTCCCATTTGGAACGCGGTGACTTGTGGGTTAGCTATGTCCATTTATATACATAGTCTATGATACCACAGCAAACTATTCTTCTTAGGGTTCTCTGATGAGCTTAAAAATAGGCAGCAGATGTGACAAACATATATACAGGTAAATAACTATTTACTTGGCGACCATAATGTAAACAAAACTAATTTAATTCATCCAGCAGTTATAGTTTAATTGGTATATATGAATTATGAACTGCCTTTATTTTGCTACATTATTGTTTAAAGTGTCATGAATTTTAGATGGAGCTTTGTACATTCATGACACAGGGAGATTCCTTGTTTGGACCTTTATTCAAACCTGTCATATGCACTTTAAGCTTAGAAATAAAATAAAATAAAAGTTACAATCACATGTTTCAATCTTAAGAAATTAAATATACTGAAAATAAATGAAAACTTGTTCCTCAACCAAGAGTTTGTCTTTGTGCGACGGTCGTCAGGAGAACAACAGCTGCTGTGTGGGTGTGACAGAGGTTAATCTTTATTCAACCAAAGCATTTTTAATTTGGTTAATACCAGACAATCATTAAACCTTGGATAACTAAAATAAATGACACCATGAGTCAGATTAACCTCCATCACACTCCAGTGGCACAAGCTGTGGTAGTAAATCCAGATTCAACCATATTTACAGCAAATATTAGTAGCGCTTTATAATAACTACACTTTAATAAGCCTTAAGGGTCCTATATTACACAAACTGACTGCTGTGAGCTTTAAATCATGTTATAATGCTGTTGCCTCCTCGAAAACTTACCTGGAGTTGTGTTTTGTTTCATTCACACGTTTGAGTAACCCTGGATTATTAGGCTGTCCGCAACAAAACACAACTCCAGGTATGTCTGCATTGTAACATAGATCAGAAAATAGTGTAATATAGGCCCTTTAAGACATAGTTATTACAAGTCAGTTACAAATATTTGTAAACAGAAATACACTGTGCTTCCTCTAATGGATAAAAGACTAAAGGTATGTTTCTTTGCCTATGTGGTACTTGTAATAACGTAAATGTTTACACTGTGTTTAGCTGCAGTACAAGACTACAAGACAGAATGACACACCACAGTTTTGCACCTGTGCATGCTAAAAATAAACCAGTGAGATGGTACACGCACATGACGCCAGCTCCATGATGTGTACAGCCACATGACCACTCACCTTTGTCACTAACTTATATAAGGAGCATTCACTTACAATATCTACACTGTATAAAGTCCAGTGTGATTATACTGTACAGTTAACGCCTTATGACTACAGCTAAATGTCCCTAATTGAATGTCTGACAAAATCCTATCAAGTTAAAACTGAATCTGTCTCTGAACTCTTTAAATTTTTTATAAAGTTTAAATATTTTCCTTGTCCTGGCGCTTGGCTCTCTCTATTTAGCACTGATGATTGTTTGCTTTCTCAAATGGTTCATTTTGGCTTTGACACTCCAAAATGTTATATAATTAATTGAAAAGCTAGTAAGAATGAAATGAAATAAAATTGGACTTTTTCCAAGGCACACCTGGTAATATCTTAAGGCACACTAGTTGGCAATCAATGGTCTAATCCAATATAATCTTTGTGAAGCTAACTCTGTACTTTTGGCCTTTGTTGTTTAATTTTAAGTGGTGACAAACTATGCACAGAAGAACATCAGATTTCAAACACCGTCTAGACTCTTTCTGGTAAATATAAACAGGAGTAAAGCTGTAGTGGGGTTTATTTGCTGTGTGTTGCCAATTCCCATTTCAAAATTGAAGCCAATACTGTCAGCTGGACGTTGGATTATAAGGGGTTACCATATTAGAGAATAACACGTACTTGCTTGTTTAGAAAGACTTCCAAGCATTTGCTCTACACATTTCCACACAGTAAACAAATCAAAGTCCAGCGCTTTGATTTTCCAGTAACACGATCCAGTGAAATCCAAATGTGCATAGAGCAGTGCTTACCTGTAGAGTCCAGGTTGTTGGCGTTAGTGTTGTTCCCAAACACCGAATCAAAGTCAACATTAAGGCCCTGGGAGTTCTGTGGCGTTGGAGAGGCATTGAACCCTGGTAAGGAAAGAAAAAAAAAACATTATAAAAGAGGATACTAACAATGCAAAAATCCCCCCTACATCTGAAACCTGGTAGACCCATTCAATGCTATTTAAACTTCAGAATTGCAGAACGGAGGCAAGTGGAGGCAAAAGTGAAATTTTATAATATATTTTTTCAATGATGAACTGAATTCCAAGGGATGTCAAAGATTTGGGGATTTCCAGTGCTGAAGTGTCAGTTTGCATATCTATCACAAGGGACGGAAAAATACAGTTTCAAGGCTAAACATGCGATGAAGGATGTAATCAAACTTTAGACACAATGGAAAAAACTATTTAGTATTTTGTATGAGTCCAGTAAAAACATAAAAATCAAAAAAGTGTAATAATCTCCTAAATAAACCTAAACTCTCTGATATTAATTACATGTATCTAAGGATGTGTTCATAGTCCACATACTTCACACATTCATCACGTTAAAACTGGGACCAGACTTGGGACCAGACTTGGGACCAGACTTGGGACCAGACTTGGGACCAGACTTGGGACCAGACTTGGGACCAGACTTGGGACCAGACTTGGGACCAGACTTGGGACCAGACTTGGGACCAGACTTGGGACCAGACTTGGGACCAGACTTGGGACCAGACTTGGGACCAGACTTGGGACTAAGCCTGGCACTAAGCCTCGAACGAAGCCCGAAACTAAACCTGAAACCCAGCCTCAAACTAAGCCCGGAACTAAACCTAGAACTAAGCCTGGCAATAAGCCTCAATCTAAGCCTGGAACCAAACTCGGAACCAAGTATGGAACTAAGTCTGACACTAAGCCTTGAACCAAGCCTGGGACAAACCTGGAATTATGCCTGGAACTAAACCTGGATTTACCTATGTGGACTAGACCAGGACTAACCCAAGTGTTTGACTGCTCTCTTGGTGGTTTCAATTTACCAAAACCACCTTAAATTCACCACATTTACAGATTCTGCACATAATTCCAGTTTCCCCATTAAAATCGCATCATGTTTAAATCCATTTAGCCTCCGTTTGCCTCCATTCTGAAATTTGAAAATATGTGTTTCCCAACCGTTTAAAGACTCCATCTACTGTACACTGTGAAACTATAAGCACTGGAGATGGGGGGATGGGGGGGTCTAAAAGCAGACGTACCTCTGAATAGACCAGCTACAGCAGTGGGCTCAGAATGGTACAGAGGAGTGGTGGCGTAAGGGTTTGGCCCACAGAAGGAGTCTAACACACAAAGAGCAAAGGAGAGAGAGAGAAAAGGAGGAAGAGAGATTATAAAAACACAGAGGAATGGGACGCAGCCGAGTTGCAAGCAGAGGGAGAACAAAGATCGGGATTGAGGGAGACAAAAGCAGAGGAAACCCATGAGCCCATAAGGAGTCTAGACTAAATAAAGAACAGAATTTTAGGGTGGCGTTTAACTATATAACTATGCTGACAATACAGTTTACAGCCCGAGAGAGGTGGGAAGTGTAAGGGAGGGAAGACAAACTAAGCTTTTACTCAGCTACTTTATGACTGTCCACTTGTACTCTGAACAAACTATCGCTTTTTATTGACTTTAAAATGCATATGACAGGTTTTCATGTTCTTGTAATTACTTGGTTTGGTGGGGTAGTTCACGTGGTAAATATTTATAAAGGGACCAAGTGAGATTATTTTCTGATCTATGTTATGTTGTTTCCTCATCACAAACAAAGCTGGAGTTGTGTTTTGTTTCATTCATACATGTTTAAACACACAAAACCTGCATACTTAGACTGTGTGCTACTCTGAAATAGAAAACACTGTTCCACTTTGTGATGTCATGTGGTAATACAGGAAGTGCTTCACTGTGTTTTTAAACTCCATACACCTTCACGAGAATGTTTTGGATCATTTCGGCTCTGGAACTGCCAATCTCTTCTCAACAAAAGGTAAAAGGCAGCTGGTAACTTGAAATCACAAGGAGGAACAGAGTATTTTGAGCTTTGGAGATGGAAAGGATTACTCAAATGTGTGTGAATGAAACAAAACAACAAAACACACCTTCCAGTACGTTTTTGAGGAGGTAACAACTCCATCCACACTCCATCCAATTTATGCACAATTTCTGGCAGTATAAAGGTCCATTTTACAAAATGAAGGTGTAGTTATTTATCTTTATTAGTCTAATGATAACTGCTGTGCTAGGTTGCAGTTATGGAATAAACCTCTATGTATGCCATATCTGCTTTCCATTCCCCTACCAGGAAGAAAAACGATAAACTTCTTTTTAAAAATCTGAAACATACAGTATTTATTAACTGTGTTTTAGTGAAATAAATAGTCTAATCTGTCATATGCACTTTAAGTACTCCCAAGTACTACATTGACAGAAATCTAGAATACCTGATAAAATCTGCTCTACATGAAACGAAGAATCAATATTAGACGCCAGAGAAGAGTTTGAATCAAAAAGCGGAGAGCAACAATCTGCAAACAACGAGCAAGATGGATTTTCATGCATCAAACTTAGAAATAAGCAGAAGATTAAACAGCCCAAGTCAAACAGTGCGGGGGAGGAGACCACAAACACTGGGAACCCAAATTTTCTGCAGGGTAAATACAGAGACGAGGCAGTGAGCCAGAAAGGAGATGTATGTGAGAGAAGTGGCAGAGAACTACACTATGTTCTGGCACTTGACCCCAAAGTCACGGCAGGAATTTCCTTCATTTCTGCATTTGGTCTGAAAGCTGTGGGACCATCAGGCAGGGTCTAATAACACTGCACACTGTGTTTAAAGAAGACATATTATGCAAATTTGACTTTTAATAGCTTTAAACAATGTTATAATTGTTTTCCTTTCGCATTTACACTCTTGAAGTTGTATTTAGAGTGAGTCAAGCATGTTTGAATAATTTGCTGTTCTGCTTTTAAGACACCATTTCCCTGTCCTTCCATATATACCCATTGCTCTGTACTCAATTCACTGCTAGGGATGATTTCACTTTTTACTTTTTTACTCTTTACTTTACTGATGCAGCTTTTACTGTTCTGATATCAATACTATGGCTTTAAGTATCTGCCGATATCTGATAGTGGCTGATACCAGTGTATTGAATTGGATTGAAAACCTTTTTCTCTCAAAACACAGTTAACAAATTTGATCCAACAGTGTTTTGTAACTTATTCATCCTGCAAATAACCACATAACAGCTGTATGAATTGAAATCCTCGGCCTACATCAGTCAGTAAATAGAAATAATAAAAAATTATAAAATCCAATTAAAAGCCCAAGGGTAACGTACTCTGAAAACTGTGGTGCAACAGGACGGTCTGATGCTGGAAATCAACAGATCCCTTTCTTTTATCAAATTGCTTTAGATAATTACAACTTTAAATGTCCAAATTCTAAAAATACTGACCCACAGGTGCCATAGATTGTAACTATAGCGAACAAAAGCATAATATGTCTTCTTTAAGCTTCATGCAAAATGTACTAGAAAGAAGTGCAATTGGCAGTCACTTCTGTTAAATTCAGAACAGACAGCACAACACATTTAATACTTAAAAATAGTCTAAAAGTCCATTCCAACAGCTACAGAATGGTTATGGTCGGTATAAAAAATTTATATTTATCAACTCCAAGCAAGAAAAACTTATTTTAGCAGATGAGCAACAACTCCAAGATTGATAACATTTGTAAAACAGCCAATTGTGTCATCTTATTATTCGAGTTGGCTCAGCTGTCAGAAACAATAAGGTAACAGCCATTTCTAGAGTCAAAATCACCATGCAGTTTTAAATGGGCTATGTAATATAATCTATCAAGATGCATTTTAGCAACCCCACCGAACATTTCATGGCTAGGCGTTCTAGAGGACAGGCTGCCATTGTCTGAGGGCGCCATGGACAGGTGGACATCAACAACAGGAAGAGTGAGGAAAGGGTTTGCGTTGGGTATGTCCTCCGCAACATCGGCAGAAGACGCAAAGGGATCTGAGAGCACAAATGGTACAGGGACACATGAGTTATGGACAAAAGACATGTTAAAAATGTGCATGCAAGACAACAACGCTAAGGCAAATGACAGTGAAACTATAGATGCACAGACTTTGTGAGACAAAATTTTCCACGACATGAGAAAATTGATCTTGTGAGATTTTTTTTTTTCATGTGTTTATATTTGGGTTGGACAAAAAGGGCTGAAGTAATGGCAAGAAATAGCAACAAAAAGCAGCGTTACAATAACTGTAAATGTAATAAATAATCTTCTGTAGAAAATAGTCTTGTCTCATTTGTGTGCAAATTGTGCCTTGTCCCACCTTTTATACAGAGAGATAAATTGCCCACACTTACCAGCCAGTAAATTATGGAGCTTATAAAAGTATCTAGCATTTTATAGTTTAAGTGGAACTAAACAGAAGATAAACATTTTTGCTACCAAATTGTGTACATGGTGTTTTAATAGCATTATGTACTGTTCCTAGTAATATTTGTGTAATTAATTACTGTACAAACTTTTTCTTTCTATTTAGTCAAAACCAGTCAAAAACTGATTGTGTGCTGCCTCCAGTGGCAACTTCAATTTCAAGTACTATGTGCCATTACACTGTACTGGCCTAATTAAATCCAAGTGTTTCTGATTACAAAAACCTGGCTGTAGAGGTGGAGTTTTATGTATGGATACCTGTTTGACAATCACACTGTTCCTTACACCTCCAGACCAAGCCCCATTTAGTCCACTATTACCTGTCCAATTTATAAACTATTGGCGTTCATGTTCAGGTGTTTAGTCCCACTTTAAATTCAGTCTTGTGAAAAAAGGACCACGTCTACAAGGCTACAGTTGTGCCTTCCTTCAAACATTTACTCTGTTATGTAATAGATTGTTCAGTTATTATCTTTTTGTGTCAACTGCATTGTTTAAACGACTAAGATATGAATGTTGAGTGAAAAACACACTTTAAGATGAGATAAGACTACAACAGTAAATATGAAACACAAAAGTCAACAATGTAAAGTACTGAGGACAATATTAGAACTATGATTAGTTAATAGGGCTGTACCTGATTTTTCATGTAATACAGTACAGTGTTTTGCCTCATTGCCCAGATTTAGCATAAAAGCAGGTCAAAATGAGACCACTGTGTGCGCTCTGCTTCTAATCAGGAAGTAATGTTGGTGCACTGTTAGCATGCTAGTAGTTGTTAGCATTACAGTGATGGCAAAACTCTGCTCTGGCATCTGAAAGTTGTGAAACACATTCATAAACTCATTGTGGTGAATAATTTGACTGGTAGGAATGCATTAGGAAAGTGTGAAATAACTTTGGACCACTGCAAACTTTTGTAAGACAGTGAAAATCAGGTACAGCGCCTTTAATACCAGAGTTCTGTATGAGATGGTGAAACATGTATTACGGTTGTAGCAGAAGGCTGAGCTCTCACCTCCCCATGTGTTGCCCGTGGACAGGGGCAGTGGCTGCTGGAAGGCGGGCTGCAGGTCCAGAAGGTCATTGGCGGCTTTAGAGCTGCTGAAGGAGAGAAAGGACAAATACATTATAACAACACTAATGATTTACTTCAAGGTTAAACTAATTATCCAAACAAATTCATGTAACAAAAAAGAAAAATGGGAACAAAGAAATCTGTTTTGAAGTAAAGGTGAGACTCATAGCACTGTTGGTTATGAGAACAGCTTTGATAAGAATGACTAAGTGCACAAACTTGACAGCTTTCAATTTTCAACTTTATTAATGTTCCAAAGGGAAAGTGGTATGCAGCAGTGTCAGACTTCTGTGAGCTATAGCTATTTACAATGCTGTTACCTCCACAAAAACATACCTGGTGTTGTGTTTTGTTTCATTCACACACGTTTAATAATCCTTTATTATTAGTCTGCCTACATCTCCAAAGCTCAAATGCTCTGTTCCACCTCCTGAAGTGGTCATTTTCAAGTTAACAGCTCCTCTCCTCTTTTTTTCCTCTAGAGACTGGCTATTCCAGGGCGGAAATTATCCAAATGATTCTCGTGAAGGTGCATGGAGTTTAAAAACACAGTGGAGCAGTTCAGAAAATAACGAAATATGGGCCCTTTCATGGAATACAATGTGATGGTTTTACTTATGGTTTCCTCTCAACCCTGTTTTATTCTATTTTGTTTGCGTGTTAAATTTGGTTCACATTGTATGTCATTCACTTGTGGAAAGTCCTGTCATGTTGTTGTTAATTTATTGCCTACAAGGAAATGAGTTTGGAGAAATTAAAAACATTTATCTACGCAACTCTACTGAATAGTGTGGGAGAACATTGCATTGTACAAATGTCACTCTGAAAAACAATTATGTTTAAGTAGCTGCCAGATACACAGAACACAAGCATCCCGTGCAATGTCACTCCATCTATCTCTTCAAATACAGGAGTGTCTGGGACCTTCTTTAATGTTGTAGCCAAGTCAAATATTTTCATCACATTGTTAAGTCCCAAGTCACGTCATATTAGTCTGAGTCACTTCAAGTCAGAATCAGAATAAACATGCCTAGGCTCTATAATATTTTCCACTGGAGCACCAAAACTGATATAGACTGCAAAGCTGTCCTGTCAACATTAATATTTAGCTTTAAATGTTTGTGTAATAGGCTGAATAAAGTATGACTGAAAAGACAGCAATTGCAAAAAAGATGCTGCACTTACAAGTTTACAAAAGGGAGCTATGAAAATGCATTGTAACAAATCATTGAACAGATTGAGGGGCTAACTACTAAAGGAAATGCATAATCATTTCGTGAAAGTATATATTGTATCTTTTAATCCATTTTATTATTTTTAGTGCTGTTTTTATTTATTGATTTTTGTTTTATGACTTTATTAGTTCCATTTGTCTGAAACATAATTGTTGTTTGTTTTACATTGCTATGGGCAGCACTTTGAAAACTTTGGTCTTGTTTATAAAATGTGCTATATAAATAAACTTGGATTGGGTATTGTTTAGAGATGGGAAGAGAAAATTCCTAAGAGACAACATGAGACAAGATTGAGACAAGACAAGATTTTGGCATAGCTTAAAATGAAAGTTTGGATTTACTCTTTTTTATTCATTTTATTTTACAGTTTTGCTTTCAAGATTACACTTCTTTTGAGATGATGGTGATTCTGTGAGCTTTAAGCCATGTTAAAATGTTGTACTTGGAGCTGTGTTTTGTTTCCTTCACACAGTAATCTCTCTCTGAGTAATCCTTAATTATTAGTCTGTCTACATCTCCAAACCTCAAAAAGCTCTGGTCTACCTTGTGAATGCTCATGAAGCGGTAGTTTTCAAGTGAACAGCTACCTTTTAATCTTTTGTTCTGTAGAGATTGTCAGTTCCAGAGCTATTACACTGCTTTTTGGAACAACAGCTTCTCAAGAGGTGTAACTCAGCAACGTTAAGTGTCCTAACCTGTTGTTGGAGCTAGGGGTGGAGAAGAGGTCGATAGCTGGGGCAGAGTTGATGCTGCCTCCCATTGTGGAGACTGGAGAAGAGTCTGTGGTGGCCGCTGTTGGGTTCTTCTGGAGCTCCTTCAGACGCTGCTCCTTGGACAACAACAGATTGAAAAAGAGAAGCGTGATCATAAACAACTGCATTTTCAACAAAACTCCAGGCAACAACAACAAGGGATGCAACAATACAGTTTACTAGCAATTCAATATATATCGACACATGGGTCACAGTATTGGCATAGTTTCAATAAGTTTGTGTATAATTGTGTTTCCTCTGTTATTTTTATGCAAACTGTCAAAGAACATAATATTTTACTGTGTATTGATTAGGGCTGAACATCATTAAGAAGTTGCCGGTACAATACATGCCTCAATACATAGACCATGATACGATACGTTTTTCGATACAGCGCACCTTTGATTCAATGCGATTCGATACGATATATTTCAAATCGATTTGATACGGTTCTGTGAAAAACATAGGCTAGATCGTGGCTATGATACTAAAAGTTTATTAAAGTTTTATTAAAGTTTATTAAGTCTACGACGTCCACTGAGTATGTGCAGAGTTAATATGAAAAACACCCATTTTACTCATCAAAACAGAAAATGTAAACACAATTGTAGCGCTGACACAAAAATTTAGTCAAATATACCTAAAAATACTCTTAGCGAAATATTGATACAGCAGCCCACGATACAGATACAGTAACATCAGATTAAACGATATGATATATCGATATTTCAATATTTTTGAGGCTTTGTTTTAACCTTAAAGTGCTGATTTAGCTGGAACTATAACAAGTGAGGTGATTTGTGTGGTTAAACAAACCCCTCACACACATAATCACAAGCTAGCTATTTCAATTTTACATACCGCCCATCTGTATTAAATATTATTGGCCAATAAAATGTTATCTCTTCAGAAACCCAGCTATTGTGAGGGTCGTGCTGAACATTTTGATATTATATTGCACATTAAGTACTGTTACATCCCTATCAACAACACAAGTGTACATTGGCAGAGCTGAACACAGCTCCTGCTTCAGTCCTTCTCCAAGTCAATTGCACATTAACTGGGTGCTGTAAGCTCAAAGGAATGTAGGTGAGGAAACAAATATACTTTTAGTGCTTTTAGGCGAGCCTGTTCTTCCTCCAGCGCAGCCTGCTTTTCCCTCTCATCCACTTTGGTGAAGGATATGCCCGTGTTAGCCAGAGACGAGACTGCATTGGACAGAGTGCTGGCCCTGGGTCAGAAAAGGCAAAATCAGCAACAGTGGCAGAAGTTACAGATTAAACTTTTTGGCATACCACCTAGCACCAGCAAATACATAAACTTAAAGCGCATATGACAGGTTGTAATGTTTTTCCAATTGTTACTTGGTATCTGTGGTAAATATTTATCATAGTTTTAAATCAGTTTCTGGAAAAAATGTCGAAAAGAACAAAAATACAGGAAGTAGTAGAATACAGAAAATTCCACCCAAAATGCTGGGACATTTATGAGCAAGGAAGGCACCTAACAGTTTAAACCTACACTTAACTAAATAAAAGTGTGATGATTAAATTTGTAGTAATGTAAATTGTATTAGCCAGACTGTTGTAAAATTGAAGCACAATGTGAGTTCTAAAGCTTGAGAAGTTTATTTACGGTCAGTACGAGACCCAGCACCTGGAGATACGAACCCTTAACACACTGCTTCCATTGTAGGGAATATTACACCTCTGATCACAAAAAGGCTAAGATACCAAGAACTTTGATGGTAATGAGTACCTTCAATACAGCAAAGAAATTGAATTTAAATAAATGATATAAATGATTTCACTATAGTACCATTTAGATGAGATTTGGTTTGGAATTAGCTCTCTTATGTCACCTCAGATGCCCGTGTGCGGTAAGTTGATATGACTGTGATTTGAATATAGTATATGTAAAGTTCTAAAGATAATAATGTTAAAATTAGTTAAATTAGTAGTCTATCTAACCTGTCATGTGCCCTTTAACTAAACAATGTTCCTATTCACAGCAGTCTGGCCGGAGTTTAAATGTCATGATGTCATACTCATACAATTTTAAAACAATGAGGGGGCTGTACTACTTCCTGAATTGTTGACCAATGTTGTCAGTGTGTTTGGACCTACCTGCTGGCTGCTGTCGAATCTTTGACTTTCTTTCCTTCTAAAGAGGCCAGATGCTGCTCCAGGGCATCCAACAGGCTACTGGGGGCCTGGCAGCAAAATCATTGGAACACATTAAGTTAGAATACAGTGAAAAGACTGACAAGGCACATTATATGGTTTAACACTGAGGCATGCCAATTACTGAGCACAGCCAAATACAGCACAGAGACACAGAGAGAAAATGTTCAGATACTTACACACACCGTAAACTGAAGGAGATAGGAAAGGAAAAATACAGAAAATAAAGGTGGTAACTGTTTAAGATCATATAAAGACCTCTTCTTAAATTAACTTATCTTCAAAGCTTAAGGGCCCTGTACCTGATTTTTTTTCCAGGTATCTGAAAAAACTTATCAGGACAGATGCATTTTATAAGCAGTTCTAGAGGTCGGTCAAAATGTCCACTGCGTACTGTCCACATAAAATTATAAAGAGTTGAATTGCCTGACACTCAGGAAGTACACATTAGCATGCTAGTTATAAGCTTTAACATGCTGGCAAAACTACACTCTGGCCTCTAAAGTTGTTAAAAGTGCTTATAAACTCATCGCAGTGAATAATTACGACGCTCAGAATGTATAACTGAGGAATAACTTTGGACCACTGCAAATGAATATGAACTCATCTATTTTTTTTATGCTTATAAAGACAGTAAAAATCAGGCACAGCCCCTTTAATTTTCCCACCTGGCTCGGACACACCTGCTCTGTGGTAGTGACGACTAAAGCGGTGAGAGTTGGATTCACACCTTTATTTGCTGTACACAGGGCAAGGTCAGGAGTGACTGTGGTTATGGAGAGCTTCTAGTTTTAACTACAGGCTCATGCACTGACTGCCTAGCGAGTACTGGAGAGGCTAAAGCTGTAGGGGCCAGCCGGTCAGCAAACGGTAATAGCCAAATTTTGGATTCGAGAGCTACTTGAAGAACAAACAAGATTATACGACTAAAACGTGACCAGGAGCTTCACAAATTTAGCATATGATAACATCTATGACTTAGATAATCCACATTAAACTTCCCTTACCTTCTAAAAACATACAAGCCTAGTTGCTCAGTCACTTTTTTCCATGTCACAACTATTTTAGATAACGTTTTATAATAATTACAACTTAATTCATAATAGAGCATGAACAAACAGACTTGGCAAAAAATAGTCTATTAAGAATTAATCAAGTTTAGTAATTTAGTAACTTGATCTAATGCAACCTTCACCCCAACTTCTAATCCTAACAATTTAAAAGTACACTGTATAATTTGTATGTTGGCGGGTCCATAACCTGCTGGTCTCCATGGAGATGTGTCTGGAATATTCCACAGTATGGCCGTAAACTTATGAATCACGATGGAGACTTGCAAGCCAAATTACAAGTTAGATTTGTGGAAAGGCGACACCACTGACAGTAAGAATGAAGATATTTTTAAGCAATAAATAACACCTGTAGTTGAATATATACAAAACAGATTAGTTTAATACCGTACTGTGGACAATTTAAACCAAATCTTCAACAAACAGGTTGCGGACCCCCTCCAGGAAAGTTACACAGTGCGTTTAATAGTTACTTTGCCTGCATCATTCTTAATTAACCATTTATTAATTATGATTTAAGTCTTCCTTCACACTTTATTAAAACTGTAAATACTGTAGATGTTATAAAGTGCTTCCTAGAATACCTACAATTGATACCATACGCCACAATGAAACTCAACCTATGATATCCCAAAATTTGGCCATTTTTATTGCTAAGCCAAGAATAAGAAAGTTCAGGTTAAATTAGTTAAATTAGTAATAGCAAAGTAGCCAGTTAGTCATGTTAGGATGTGTGTATAAAGAGGTTGTGCATACCTGAGACAGATCTGGGATGTCTCCTCGGTCAATTCCTACTTGCTGCAAAGTCAAGGCAAAACTCAGTACTGTGCAAAAGCTGTGTGCTATATATACACTGTATCTGCTGTTAAGTCAGTACAAACTTACCTCTGCAACTTTGAGAAATTCTGAAATCCTAGTCATTCGTGTGAGAAATTTCTTATAGATGTCGAGACCTTCTTTGCACTGTACTTTCTTCATGTCAAAGTATTTTTCTGTTAATAAAGATGTAACATAAGCAAAAAGAGAAATTAAAAACTAGAGCACTGTTTCTCAAGCAAGCTCTTCATTTTGTAGGGTTGCCTAATGTAGTGAGTTCATTTTATCTACTTTTTGATCTCCATTGGATAATTTCTGGTTTAAACCTACAGTGGAAATGATGTAGTCCACTATTAGACCTTGTTTAGCCCTAGATTAGACCTGGAATCTGTTATAGACCTGGTTTAGATCTTGTGATACTCAGAAAGTCAAATATTTTCTTTGGTGGATTAGTACATGGTGTGAAAAGCTTGGGGGCCACTGAACTCGCATGAACTTAAGTTTGAGAATAAAGCCTGGTGCATATTAATTTTGAACTTGAATCAAATCAAAATTCTGAACAAATGCAAATGCTGAATGTTTGATGACAGCCCCCTGTAAAGTTTGTTTGAAATCAGCTTGTTAGCAGTCTGTGGAGAGACTGCAGGAAGCCATCAGGATCCTAGGCCATGTACTAGTAATTATAATCTGTGCTGTGAGAGGAATGCCAACAACACTCTTTAAAAAGAGAATACTGTGCAAAGCTATGCAATCCAGTCTATGGTAGTCTCACTATATATTCACAGAATGACTTTTGAAAAAAATCTATACTGAATGAAATAGTTTGATTTTAAATTCTAACTGTGTGCCTGAGATACAAGGTAGATATGTTCAAATGAAATATAACCTTTCTCAAGAACAACATTAAAGTGTGTATGACAGATTTTTATAAAACTCAAATTTTTACTTAATTTGGTGGAATTATAACTGCTGTAAATATAAAAGATAGTTTTGCACAAATTAAGAGCCAATTTGCAAAGAAAAGTGGAAAACCATGTTGAAAATTACAGGAAGTAGAGTTTTAACACACTGATGACTTTACACTTGGGAGAATTCTGTGCAAAATGTGCACGATTTGCACACAAGAAACTCATTTTTTCTGATACTGTAAATATTAATCCAACAAACTAAAGGCGTTTTCTTATACTTGTACTTGTCAGATAATAATTTCTATGTACATTAGAGAAGCTTTTCTAGGTAACAGTTATAAATTCCCTAGTGTCATTTTGTGATTTCCAACTGGGAAGTAAATTTTTAAACCAATAACACTGAAAAATTGGGAAAACTAATGAATATTTTTGAAAGAATCTTAAATATTATGATCTTAAGTGTGTTTTTCTAAAATTAGTAGTCGACCCTGTCATAGGCACTTTAATGTAAGTAAATTTGTACGCATTGTATGTTCACCTGCCCAAGGACCACAGATGGAAAGTAGCTGTAGCTAAATCTGGTACAAGTAATCTTTTCTTTTGTAAAATTAATTAACTTGTACATGGTCCCTGACAAATAAAGAATAATCTGAAATTAAACAAAGTTCCTTTAAGTATTTCAGAAGTAATAAATGGTTGATTTTATAAGTGGTAAGGGTGTTTCAAATGTCTGGAAACTGTTTAGTATTAGTATTTTCTAAAAGGACCCCAGGAAGAGTAGCTGACGGTAACTTGGTAACAGATAAACAAATAAACAGTAAAACGCTACCAAGAAGATTTATGATCCCCTCATTGTAGGCTGCAAACAGTCGAATGGCATCTTTGAACAGAAGCATGAAGGCAGCATTGATCACTCCGTTTGTCAGTTCATTGGCATTGACCTGTCGAGGAGAAGAAGACGGTCAGGGTCATGTGAGATTAAACAGGGCAGGGATGCACAATATATTAAAACTAAATCAAAACTGCAATTTGAGTTGAGGCAATTACCAAATCGCAAAGGCTACAATTACTTGGATAATAAATTATCCTCTATAAAATAACAGTTATGAAAATCTTTACATTAATAATTTTTTACATAGTGTAGGCTGATAATAAATTGTGTGCAAGATGGTTAATGTTATACAAGGTCAATAGGAGCCCTGACTTCTAAATATAATGTATTTCTACAAAAAATCTTGTGGAAATGCGTAGGATTCTTGTATTAGTTTATCAGTTCATATTTCACTCAAATGTGAATGTGCCTGGAGTTGTTTACAATGTGAAGGTTTCTACTTTTTATTGATAAATTATAAATCTAATTGTAATACTGGTCAGAAAAATCACCATGAGATAGTTTCCAAAATCGTGCAGCCCTAAAAGAGTGAAAGAATAAAGGTCGTACATTGAAGTCGAGGAGGACGTCCATCTGGTTTTGGATGATCGGAATCGTCTTCAGAAGCTTCTCTGTGTTCATAGTTCTCATTACACCATCCGACCTGAAGAAAAAAGGGCATTTTTAACCAAGACAGCAATTTCATAAGAGACCTTTGTTAACTTGTTTCACTTCACTATTTGTAAGAACTGTGGGGTAATAAGCAGTATTTAAAATAACTGCATAACAATTGGTGCAATTTGCAGTTCGCAAAGGCTACAATTTTCTGAAGTAGCTTAATTTGCGCCACAAAATATAAACTGCTAACTGTAATGTTTTGAAATGGGATTCTTTCATTAGTTTGTCAGTTCATAATTCAGTGTTTTCGTCAGTACTTCTACTTGAGTTTAAGTAGGGTTGTCAAAAATATAAAAATTTAGATATTAATCAATACTAAAGCTAATATGGAAACTAGGCACTCATCTGAGCAAGTATCAAAACTGAAAAGAAAATCACATTAATCGGATAAAATTGTATGTTTCTGGAATAGTTTTAGCATGATTTTGAGCTTTATCACAACAAATACAAGACCTTATGCTTTGATTAAAGAAATACCATTCTTTTGCATATAAAAACTATATTCTGCTACTTTTTATCTTCAATGTGATATTGTAATCAGTATACTCAGTCAATTCCTTTGTATCAAAATAGTTTGAAATTATTGTGACAACGCTTTGAACAGAATCCTATTATAAATAAATTTCAAATCTCATTAGATATTTTTCCCAAATGGTGCAGCCCATAAGGTACACATAACATTCCTGATGATGTTTTAGGTTTTGAAATTGACAGAACGAGTTTTCCCAGGCGTTCTGACAGAGCTGTTAATGGATGTAGGACATGCGGCCGTGTGACCTGTGGTGAGATCCAATACTGTGGAGCATTGGTAATCAAAGCTGCTTACCCTCTTTTCACTTTAGTGAAGTCAAAAGCAACTTGTCTGTAGGACACAGCCTTCTCATTCAGGTAGCGGCTATACCTCCTGATGAATGTTGACATGTCGTAACCTGGAAACATACGAGACGGTCAGGGAAATGTCATGGCATACTTCAGTGCACAGTGGTGTGAAATAACCTTTTGGTGGGTATGGTGGGTTGTCAAAAGTATTAAAAAGCAGATACTTATAGTTACCAAAACTAGTAATCGCAACTAAATACCAATTTGAGCAGATATCAATGCAAAAAAGTCGCATTCACAGGACAGAAATTAATCTTTCCTGAATAGCTTTAAATTATCTTGAGCTGTAACAGAACAAGTATAAAACCACACAAACTAGACTAGTATAAGCTCATAGGCGATTATAGAACCTACAAGGATGACTAAGAATTACACAAATATAAGACCACATGGTAATATAAAAGAAAGCATGATGATTTAATGTTGAAAAGAGGGTTTTTATTATCATCGTAGTACCAAGTCTATTTGAAATTTTAACATTGTGACAGTACTAGTCTGTACCTTGTAAACCACTTTTGTCCAGAAAGTTGCTTAGGTTGAAGAGAGTGTTTCTTGAAGCCAGATATTGAATAAATCTCTGCAACAAAAAAACAGGACATTGGAGAGGTGCATAAAAGCTTTTACCACAAGTTCATATCCTCAAATCTTGTGCAATAGTAACATTTGTGAAGAGAGACCAGGCTGACCTCATTGCCGTAGACCATCAGGTGGTGTGTGGTGGTGAGGGACTTGAAGACCACCACCCAGCTGGTGTTGGCGGTCCGCTCAAACAGTGTGTCGGCCAACTGAGGGATGTTCACATTCATCTCATTTGTGCACTGAATCAGGTCTGTGGAGAGGAGAGAAGCAAGTGAGGAGGAGGTAAAGAGCTCAGAGTCTGGCTGCAAGATTAATCACAATTAATTTGAAATTGCAATTTGAAAAGGCTGACATTTTTGATGTACCATAATTTCTCTACAAACAACAAATATCCTGTATAAAAAGCTACCTTATAGTTTAGATCTGTACAAATATGATTTACGATTCATGTATTAGTCTGGCAACAGGGATGCACCATTCCAGCCATATCAGTTCAAATTCCGATACTAACTTTAAGCATCTTCTGATATTTGGTACCAGCGCAGAGACTGAACAACAGCATTTATTTCCTTAAAACAAAAATTTAAAAAAGACAAAACTGACCGAAATGTGTTATTTTGCTGTAACATTATGAGACATTCTGGGCCAACTACCACTAGTAAATTGTCTTCTTACATAAATTTTTATGCCCAGCCAGGATATTGGATATTTGGAAAAAGATCCAATCCAGCAAAATTTTCAATATCGCCACCTATATCCAGTAGCCAGTATCAGATCGGTCCATTCCTATTCAGCAGTTCATATTTGAGTCTTTTAGTCATTTCTTCAAAACAAAATGTGAACTTTGAAGAGAAACATTTACAATAAATCGAAAACCGAATCACTATAACAATGCTTGTCAGAAAAATCCATCTATTTTCTTCCACTTTATCCGGGAGTAGATGCTTTCCCAAATCATTCCAACCTAGCTCAGAGAAAACTTATGTTACACACTTTCTTCATGGCATTTCCTCATTTTCACTTATCGGTCCCAGTTGAAAACCACAACCTCGAGCGAACCGCTGCTGATAAAGTGATGATGGGCACAGTGAGCGATGCCATGTTTACCTGCACTTTGGCTTTAAGGACAGACAAATAGTTCTCCAAAGCGGAGCCAGAGGAAATTGCTTTCATCATGACCTCAAAAGACGAATTTTTTTTATCTATAAATCAGGGGAAACCGAATTATAATAATACATGACTACTTAAGAAAATATACATAAGAACAAAAATAATTATCTTAAAATAAAAAGTGGTTCTAGTCTAATCTTGAGTAGAGATGAATAATGTATCACAACTGAATAAACATCACAATTTAAATAAACAATTATCAAATCGCAAAGACTGAAGTTATTTAGGTAACAGAATGTGTACTGTAAACAACAAAATATCTTGTTATTGGAAAAAAAGAAAAGAAAACGCCAACCCTTCAGGTTCTCGACCTCTACAAACATGATCTGAAATGCATTATTTGGTCATATTTCACAAAGGCTGCAATATTTGAAGCCACGTACCAAATATCAAAATATCTTCCCCTATTCTACAAAACAACTGCTAACCATGTAGTTTTGGTTCTTGTATTAATGTGTTAGTTTATACACTACAAGCCAAAAGTTTGGACACACCCTGTCATTCAATGTTTTTTCTTCTTTATTTTTACAGCTTTTTACGTTTTGTTCACATACAGGACACATCAAACACACTTTGCTACATAATTCCATACGTCTTACTTCATATATTTGATGTCTTCTGCGTGTGGTAAAAGTAGCAAAAATAAGCAAGAAAAATGGAATGAGATGGTGTGTCTAAACTTTTGACTGGTAGTCTATTTCAGTCTTGTCTTCTTGTCAGTTTTTCTGCACAGAATCCTATTAAAACATAAACTGCAAATCTAATCACAATGCTTGTCAGAAAAGTGTCAATTCGACATTTTACTTCTAAAAATCAAGCAGTCCTAATGTTATTTTTACACACTGTCAGAAAACACAACATCTTCAGTTCCGCGAGGCCATGACCATCTGGACTTAAGTGAAAGAAAATGCCTCATGGTTAGTTCCTCTTTCCATTATGGCCACTGCACTGATCAATGACGCCTGCGCTCCATATATCTACGCACGGACGCACAAATGCACACGCCAGCACAACCTGACATTCTGATGAAACGCAGCCTGTGACAGAGAGCGATTCAACACTGTCCTCACTCACAGGCTCGGGCATTTTGTTAAAATAACAGATACCACATTTGCATTTTATCTGCAGAGGCAAATGATAGGTGACATTTTCAGATGAGAGAAGGCTGATAATTAGGAGGAAATGGCACAAAATGTTGACAGGATAAATGGATGTAAACATGAGGGATCATGCTATATGGCCAATGGAGATACATGTGACAATCAGTATTATTGCATATTCTGCGATAAATCACTCTTTTAAACAAATACATTTTTACATCAAATCAGTGCTACTGCTACTTATAGTTCATGTTCGCTTTTTCTAAAACTGAGAGTTCCAAAGAACTGCAACACGGATTTCCTTTTTACAATTTTTCCCTTTAGACTCAGGTTGCAAACGCCCCGCTTAATGAATGAACCACCAAATCTGCCTTAATATTTCACACTCCAGAGAATCATATGACACAGACAGAGCCTTCCAAGTTATCTAACATTCATAGCCATCACATGCCAAAGGGGTTTGGTAGCCAGAGAATAAATATTTCAGACAAGTTACATTCTCTTTCAGGGTGACATCTCCAGCTCCTGTTTTTATAATCTAGGAAAACTGCAAATCAAGTAAATTACTAGATTATATTTCAAAATATAATACTGAATGGTGGGTGACTATTTTTAAGAAGGAGAATGGTTGAGATAGTACATATATAGGAAAAGAGGGGTCTGGGGATCCTCCCACCAGTGTTTTTGTTGTTGTTTTTTTAAAGGTGTATTTCCTATAATTGGGGTTTTGAATTATTATCTAACTGTCCTGCATCTTATAATATATTGTAGAATGTATTAAACAAAGACATACTGCTATTGCTGCTCGTCTGTCAATCTGAAGGTCAGAGGTTTGATTTCCGTACTCATGGTGTGGTGTCCGGGGTGAGTGATGGGTTGTGTGTGTAAAAAGGATCTACCCGATTGTGAAGTAAATACAACTATATCCAGTGCACACAAAGCGCATTAACATGTGAAAACAGCATGCGATTTGGGAGATATTTTACAACCAGGCACAACATAGTGCACCAAATGCTATCAGTGACTGTACAAATACACACATACCAGTGGAACAGTGTCCTTTATTGAAGCCGCCTTAAAGTAACATTGACTGGAGTAGGAGGCGTTGTGACCTACTGAGGCCTGTTTACATGGGTGGTCCATGAATCCTCCTCAGTGTTTTACACAAAAGCCTTTATGCTTTTTATATAGACAATGGGCCTCCCATGTGACAACAAAGGCCTTTTCAGATGCTCCTGACATGGATGCAGAGGGTACAGAATCACCAGCCACTTTCTCCTCTGGGGCTGATATGTGTAAGACAAGCTGCCCGTCGCTCTGCTCCGAGACTGAGAGGCTATGAGACTTTAATAAGCTCTATCTGGACGGACACGCGCCACTGAACTGAAATCAGATGCTCAGAAAGATAAAAGGGCAAATTTAAATTAAAGCTACACAATTTTGAAATAAAAATCAATTGCAATTTTTCTGACAAGTATTAGATTTGAGATTTAAGATTAAAAAGTAGGATTTTGATCAGAGTGCACATTGTACACATTGTATTGCAGCACATGTTTGCAGAGGTCTAAACTACAGGTACAGCAAGATTATCTACCGCGACAGGCTAAAGAACTACAGCCTTTGTGATTTCTGACAGTCTCAGATTCAAACAGTAATGTTATATGTTGAATTGTGTAAGTAATGTTTGCAATAAAGTAATTAGAATGGCAGAAAAAGAAATTCAAATGTCAAAAGTAGTTTGTAAAAATTGGTATAAATTGGTATTTTTGGTGCAGTTGAAAATACATTTATGGCATTCTGTGTTTTCCACTGCTGGTGGTTGCTAGTGTATTGTATTTTAGTATCACCAGAAATATATATAAAATTGCCTACAAATGCTGTTAATACCAGACTGGAAAAGCCCATTAAATCCCTGCCAACATTTGCATGATGACTCTCCAATTTACACAAACATGACACAGTGGGTTCTATCACTCAATCTGTGGGCTGAAATGGTCTGCCAGGATCCATTTAAAAGGACATTTCAGGTCAAACAAAGAGGTTTCTTACAACAACAAATATACTGTATTGAAAACCACTGTCAATGATAGACCAGAGCAGTGCTACTGTGAACTTATTTATATGGGCAATGTGCCACTCAAGTCACAAATGTTCTGAGAATAACACGCACCAAAGAGCACAAGAGATAAAACTATTAACAGACACAGCATTGATAAACAATGTAAGAGCACATATAATACAGAATGGGATGGGACGAGTGAAATTGATGATGTGGAGTTGTATATTTAAGAAACATTGTCGAACTTTTCTGGTGGAGGGTCCGTGGAGAGGTTCTTGCTTTGTCTGGAAAGTTTAACAATATGACATTAAACCTTTCTATCTAACCAAACCGAGTTGTATGTCAGATCTGTGGAGAGGCAACCCCACTCAGTAAGAATGCCTGTTTTTTGGGGGGAAATTTTATAACTGAATAAAAGTAAGGTAGAGCTGTTTAATGTCATACTGTGGAACATTCCAGGCAGAGCAATGACATTCTTAGAAACAAGCAGATGACGAACCCCCAACCAAAAAGTTTAATAATGCACCTTCAACAAAAATACGGGAGTTCTTAACTGAAAATGTGTTTTCATTTGACATTGCTCCTTGTTTATTCACTACTTTATTGCACAGAGATTCGGGGAAACAATTATCAGGTCAAAACAAGTAGCCTTCAGTGAAGTCTATATAGCACAGCGTAGAAATAGACTTCAGACTATGGTTATTTACTGTGTGATATGATAGCCCCATATGTCAATAGTTGCCAAAGTGGGGGTCAAACTCTCCCTGGGGGTTGTGAGATGATTTCCAGATATAATTTAACAATTACACCGTAAGCATTGTTTTATAATTTTGTAAAATTGAAAACAGTATAATATGGTGAAATTATAGTAGTATAGTCAAGAACAACAGTCAAGAACACAATAGACCAGATTTTTTTTAC